GGATACATCACCAACAGGTATCCTGACATCCCTATACAACCAAGCATTCTGCTAGCATTTCCTGCTGCTCTATTACATTGTCTGCCTACCTTTAAGTCATCCGAAATAATCACCCCTAAATCCCTTTCCTCAGATGTTGAGGTTAGGACTCTGTCAAATATTCTGTACTCTGCCCTTGGGTTTTTACGTCAAGATGCATTATCTTGCACTTATCCACATTAAATGTCAGTTGCCACAATTTGACCATTTTTCTATTTACCTAAATCATTTGCCATTTGGCTCATCCCTCCTGGAACATCAACCCTGTTACATATCTTAGTATCATTAGCAAAAAGACATACCTTACCATCAAGACCTTCTGCAATATCACTAATAAAATATTAAAGAGAATGGGTCCAAGTACAGATCCCTGAGGTACCCCACTGGTGACAAGTCCAAGCTTCGAATATATTCCATTAACTACAACCCTCTGTTGCCTGTTACTCAGCCACTGCTTACCCATTCAACAATATTGAATCCAAACTAAAAGATTGCAGTTTATTGATAAGCCTTCTATGTGCAATAGTGTCAAAAGCCTTACTGAAATCTAGGTAAGCAATGTCTACTGCACCACCCTGATTTATAATTTTAGTTACCCAATCAAAAAAATCAATAAGATTAGTTTGGCATGATCTCCCTGAAGTAAACCCATGTTGTCTCTGATCTTGAAATCCATGTGTTTTTAGATGTTTATCAATCCTATCCTTTAACATGGTTTCCATCACTTTCCTCACTACTGAAGTAAGGCTTACTGGCCTATAGTTGCCCGACTCCTCCCTATTACCTTTCTTGTAAATGGGCACAACATTCGCTAACTTCCAATCTTCTGGGACTAGTCCTGTTAACAATGATTGGTTAAATAAATCTGTTAATGGTTTTGCTAGTACACCACTAAGCTCTTTTAATAGCTTTGTGTGTATTCCATCAGGTCCCATTGACTTATTTGTCTTTACTTTTGACAGTTGAAATAGAACCTCTTCCTCTGTAAACTCACGTGTAATAAATGACTCATTTATCCTTTTTCTTAACTGAGGTCCCTCTCCTTCATTTTCATCTGTAAATACAGAACAAAAATATTAATTGAGGCAGTCAGGTAGACCTTTATCCTCTTCTACATACCTTCCTTCTTTTGTTTTTAATCTAACTAATCCTTGTTTTACTTTTCTTTTCTCATTTATGTATCTAAAAAAAGTTTTGTCCCCCTGTGTAAGGACCACCTCCAGTCTCTACCTGTACAAACATTTTATGTTCAGCACTGAGAGTGACTTAGCGTTTAATCAGGATTTATCTAACTTTACATGTTACGTTATATAATAATCACAGACAGGATTATCCACTAAAGGGGAATTATGGAAAATTAACAAGAGGATTTCAAGTTTAGGGCCTCAATATCCTGATCTAGAAAACTAGCTGAGATGGAGAATTTTTAGAATTCAGCTATTTATTGCCTAAAATTTCAAGTTCCCTGGCCAAGTCTCCACGATTCTCAGTTTTGTGAAAACTATACAAGCTTTTAAAGGAAAGGTTTTTTTTCTTCGGTGAAAGTCACATCAATGACCCCATTTAATTAGTTTTTTGTTCCCTCCCACAAATAGCGAGCGTGTAGAGCCTGGATGTTGCCACATTTAGCCATTAAACCAGTCAGGAAATGCAAGATTTTGTCCACTTAGTCACCAGATAAAATGACTCATCATCTCCTCCCGCAGAATATTCCTTATTCTTTAGAATATGTTATTGCTTAATCATCAGAAAGCCTGAGGGGAATGGAAAGCATTAAGGTTTGATCTTGTGTAATAAACTGCAACACATGCACAATTTTTCACATAAATGGCTAATGGGGCAGCTGGAGGGGGTCGCAGGTGGAACCCTTTTGTGCTGTGAAAGCAAAGGGATTGATTAGGTGTGACTCAGGAATTCATAGCATACAGCTGATCTCAACTCCAAATCCCCACTCAGAGCTGGTTCTTTAATATCAGTGGGAGCCGTGAGATGCAGCCTGGGAGCTTTGTTTATTATTTATAAAGCACCAACACATTCTGCAGCGCTGTACACTGGGTGAAGTGTTTTCTACAAGACGAGTTGGATGCACGGGAACAGAGGGCCCTGCTCAATTAGCTTACTTCTTGTTTAAAGGGGAAAGAGACTTTTTTTTGTCCTTGTTTCAATGAGCACGGTCTTCTTAAATCCTTGTTTTATTCTTTATGTCAATTATGTCTTATCAAATATTCCCATTCTACAATTACAATTATTTATATAACACAAACATATTTCGCAGTGTTGTACAACAGGTAAACAAAACAAACAAACACCAAGTTCTAACAAACCATGATAGGCATCCTGGAACTGTACGTGATGAAGACCCTGCCCAACTGAGCTTACAATCTAAAAGCACTGTGGAATATGCTGCCGTTATAAGATTCTAATAATATATTATTATAAATTATTAGCATTATTAATATGCAGTGGTAATGGATTTTCATTTGTAAACCGAGGTACCACTGCATTGTAATAAATTTTGTCGATCTTTTTTGGGCCTCTCTTGAATTTAGGAAATGGAGAGAAAGATTTCTATGTGGGATTTGACTTTCCTTATTAACTTTGGAGAAACAGATGTAAGAGGTAACAGAATATTTGTGGGTTTAATTCTCTCACTTTCACACTTCCTGTGATATCGTCCCCCCATTAGTGTTCACTCTGCCCCTAATCCTTACACCGCAGGACTCATTCACTAAATCTGAGAACTGTGGAGATTTGACAAGGAAATTGCACATTTTGGCTAAAACCTTGGCTATTTCAGCTTAAAACGTGCATATCTATGGTTCATTTTCTACATTTCCTACTTTAGTGACCCTTACTTGGAAGTTTCTGAGGCCATTAAACTGAAATTGAGAATAGTGAATCCATTGAAACATTTAGCATCATTATTTTCTTTTTTTATAGATCATTTTGATACTTTAATTTATTTTACAAACACAGATCTAAAGCCATCATTAATTTTGGCACAAATGTTAATACCCAGACAAGAAAATCACCGATAACGAATGAACCATAAAATAAGTTACATAGTTACACGGCTGAAAAGAGATATTGTGTCCATTAAATTCAGCTTTAGAGTTGATCCAAAAGCGGGGAAATAAAACCAGTTTGAAGCACTTCCGATTTTATAACAAACTAAGGGGAAAATTCCTTCTTGACCCCAGAATGGCAGTCAGATTTATCCCTGGCTCAAGAAGCTATTACCCTACATTAAAAAATGATATATATTATATAATGTTTTACTGCAGCACATGCTTATCCATGCAGCAAAGAGGTCTGTATGTTGGAAGACAGACGATAACAAGACTGAATGTATCTAAATTGACACAAAAATGTGAACGAATTCTGGTATCGAAGGAACAGCAGATTAGGGTGAATTTTAGCAAGGCTTTGATCACCAGGAAGTGTCAAGCGTTTCCAAGCAGGAATCGGGTCTGGGCGCATCTGATAAAAGAGAAAACTGCTCGTCATGCAAAGCAGGCAGGAAATACAATAGGCACCACGGAGCCAATAGACGCACAAAATGGAAATTCACAAACATTTAGCAAATTCCACATATAAAGCGGATATGGGATTATTCACTAAACACCGAAGACTAATGAAGGGAAAACAGAATTGCAATTATTAGGATTAAATAGCTAAACTGTGACGTAAGCAGAGTTGCAGAATTTTGCACATATTCAGGTTATTTTTAAATTGAATCACTGAACCTGTGAAATCATAAGTAAGCAGCGGTATAAATCTGTTGCAAGAGAAATACAATACGGAATGTAATACAACAAAACAAAAGCAGGAATGGCAATGAGAATATGCAAAGCTGGCACCACGGAGCCAATAGACGCACAAAATGGAAATTCACAAACATTTAGCAAATTCCACATATAAAGCGGATATGGGATTATTCACTAAACACCGAAGACTAATGAAGGGAAAACAGAATTGCAATTATTAGGATTAAATAGCTAAACTGTGACGTAAGCAGAGTTGCAGAATTTTGCACATATTCAGGTTATTTTTAAATTGAATCACTGAACCTGTGAAATCATAAGTAAGCAGCGGTATAAATGTTGCAAGAGAAATACAATACGGAATGTAATACAACAAAACAAAAATGGCAATGGAATATGGCTGGACTGGCGCTGATTGTAAAAGTGCAAATGCTGCAACCCTAGTGTCTATAGTCACTCGCCAGACACTAAATACAATAATACAAAATAACAACCACCAACACACAGTGAGATATACTGATTATAGGAATATCCTGATGGTATATATAATATACCTCTGATCAATGTGTCCACAATTTAATATACTACAGCTCATCTTCCCCTACCTTAAGATGAGCTGTCCACCAGTTCCAGCCTGGCCTGCACAATCTCTTCTCTGCTCAAGCAGGTACTGCGAGCAGGAAGGAAGGAGGAGTGAGTGGCTGGCCTGGTCTGCAGATAGCCAGCCACTCTGCGCACTAAAGCACCGCCTCCGCGCAGTCACTGGGTATGACATCATACGCTGTTCATATCCGGCAGCCGGTGTGTACAAATACTTTATCCTCTTGCGGCCGTGGCTGGTCGTAAAAGCACGCGATTGTCCTTGGCCCGCAGACTGTCTTGAGGCTGATCGCAGCACACAGTGGCCCTGTAGGCAGATGGCCTACCGGGAAATATCCCGGTAGGCCAGTCCGGCCCTGGTGTCACTCCCGCCCCCCTGACGCACCCTGGTGCGTTCCACACACCTCCCTTGTGACGTCACTGTATCCTATAATAAGTATATCTCACTGTGTGTTGGTGGTTGTTATTGCACAGCCTGTATTTTGTATTACAATACGGAATGTTGTCAGACTTTGTAGCAAGACAATTATATCTGGACTTGCTTCTCTGAACCAATAAATAAATAAAGCCAAAAGAAACAAAACAAAAGATTGGGCTTTAATAGCCTTTTCCAATTACAAACGAGCAGCTGGCTGCTGCATTACAGACATAGATGGAAATCATGCACGCCAATATAAATGGGATGTATGTCCGCAGGGTCACTCTAACTATGGCGGATATATTTTAAAAGATGATCTGTCAGTTTCAGATATTCTGTGACCATGCACAGTTGCACCCCTCTCCGGTTTCCCTGTGCTCTGTATAAGGTGACGGGGGGGATGGGCTGAGTTGCTGCTTATTGGCTGCTGGCAATGGTGGAATGATGGTGGAGGAAGATATTGCAGTCTATGCAGAGATACAGTGTATAAAGCTGCAAACACTATTACCTCGGCAACCCCCACCCTGTTACATAAAAGACACGGGGGAGGGGGAGGACTGCACCCAGGGAGTGCTACAGGAAAAACCCCATCTTAATAATAAACATTTGTTTAGAGAAAGGCAGTGTGTGCAAAAAAATAAAAATAATAATTAGCATTTATTCAATTGTTTATAAAAAAAATAAAAATAAATTACATTTATTTAATTGTTTCAATTTGAAATAAATCATGTACTCCTCATACTCTTAAAGGAACACTGTAGTCACTTTAACTGCTTTATCTTATTGAACTATTTTAAAAAATATATAAATCCTGGGTGAATCCATTAACCCTTTGGTATTCTGTATCAATGTCCCACATTATATATTGTGTATGCAGTCCAGCGCGGCAAGGTACATGTGCAGGATTGTCATTTTAGTAAAAGGACGAGGGAGACACAAAGGGGCTCATTTACTGAACTCCAAACTGTTATAAATTTTAATAAGAATGGCAACATTTAGGCTGAAACAACCGAGTCTTGATTATATCTGACATGGACAGTTTGTTTTAGGCTAAATGTTGGTGTTTTTATTTGTAACGGGGCTATTTTACGAAACCCAAATGGCACATTTTAGGCTCAAGCAGCGGCTTGGCTCATTAAAATCTGGAGTTTAGTAAACGAACCCTAAACTGTAAGCAACGTCTGATTGTTTACGGCCACTTTGTCTTCTTGTAAATAATTGCTATTGTTCCATTTATTGTACAGCGCTACAGAACATGTTGGCGCATTACACGCTATACTAATAATAAGGAAAATGGATCATTTTGGGCCAAACTTGGCAAATTCGCTGTCTGCTAAGGATATTGGTCCTAAATGTGAAATGAATTCCCAATAATTAACACTTTATTAACATTAGCCCATTACAGGGCGGAAGTGAACACCAGACCACGTGACACCCGCCGCGTCATCAAACCGCCAGCTGTGATTGGCGGGTTCTTCCCGGGCTCGCGCTCTCTGGGCGCCTTTCATTTCCCCTTCACACGCGGTGCGGCCGCCATGTTGGATTAGGGCAGGCCCCCCCCCGTGACCTCTATTATTGTAATAAATAATAAACTCTCCCCGTGAGCGGGCTACAAACCCGGGGCCGCGCTGCGGGGTTAATGTGGCTACTTGTTATGATTTATAACATTTGACGGCGAGAAGCGGTTTTGTAAAGAGTTAATTCCGAGAAAGCCGCCGAGTCCGTCTAACGCTGTGTAATACGGGATTGGGGAGAGTCCTCGCTTTATTTTGAGCAATGAAGGGATCCTCCCAAAACAAACATGGCCGCCGGGGTGCCCTGGCCCCGCCCCCTTCCTCTGCGGTAAAACCAGCCGCTCTTTGTGTGAGGCGATCAGGTGGAAGGTTCCAGAAGAGGGCGGGGCCTGGAGGCGGTGAGTCAGAGCGGAGCTCGGTGATTGGCCCGCGGCAGTCTCGTGCTGGGCGTGCCCTCGCGCGCTTCTGGAAGGTTCTGAGTCGGTATATAAAGGAGCCGGCAGCGTCACTCAGTCTCATTTCCAGCGACCACAGCTCGGAGACGGCGAGCAGCTCAGTAATCCCCCAAACCGCCCAGCACGCGAGGTGAGTACCGGCCGACAGGCATCAAGGGGGGTGTAATCAGCTAAAGCCGGGGGGCACAGGCCTCCCACAACCCGCAGCTGTCCGTCCGTTACCCGGGATCCTCTACATCGCCTGCCGGGGAGAGCGGCCAGAGGGTCCTGGGAAACGGGGTTACTGGGGGTTACAATGGGGGCTCTCCCAGGGCTGGCTGAGGGTTATAGGGGCACTGGTTGGGGGTTCTGGGGTGGCTCTCACAGGGCTGGCTGGGGGTTATAGGGGGACTGGGCTGGCTCTTCTAGGACTGGTTGGGGGTTATATGGGGCTGATGTGGGGATTGGGCTGGGGGTTCTGAGCTGCCTCTCCCGGGGCTGGCTGGGGGTTCTGGGGTGGCTCTCACAGGGCTGGCTGAGGGTTATAGGGGGCTGGGGTGGCTCTCACAGGGCTGGCTGAGGGTTATAGGGGGCTGGGATGGCTCTGCTAGGGCTGGATGGGGGTTATAGGGGAATTTAATTTCTGGATGTCTCAGGTGGCTCTCCCTAAGCTGGCTGAGGGTTGTAGGGGTATGTACAAACTGGATGTCAAGGTTAGCAGTCCCTTATGGAGCTGTAGATGTCAGGACCAGGGGATGTGAGGGACTTCAACTGTATTACTTTGTTCTGTGAGATCTGGGTTAAATTCTTTAGCTTTCCCATGTGGGTTTTTACTTAAGATGGCTGCCTCCCTTTTTTGATGTTCCACAATGTGGTGGTCCGCCCCACTCTGGGCATTATTCACTGATCTGGATGATAGTTTAAAGTCCTAATAGCACACCTTGTAGGCTGGCTGGATTCTGATTTTTGATCATGTAAAGAGCTTCCACCAACAGCAGGTGGCTCAGATTTTAGCCTATCCCTCATAGGCCGCACAAGGCTTGCAATTACTGTGCTGCTGACTTCCTTCTACGTGTTTCCTCTATGTGAAAACGGGGTGGAGACGAGATCTGGTGGTTTCTCTTCTGCAGACCTGTGTGCGTCATAGCACGCCCTGGTGACTAATGCAGTGAGAAATCCACTTTAACACTTATGGTGGCCTCCTGTAGGCTCAGAAGGCAGTTCAACAAATGGCTTATTCATATAGAATACTAGGAGCAATTATCTCCAGTGTTAACATGTGACTGTATCTGCTTTGGGAAAACACAACTATGCACAAGGCATTCCTGGGATTTCATGCCAGATTCAAGTGGGCCTATACACTTAACTGACCACTTAAGACCATCTATTTTTGAGCTGTATTGGGGAGAGCACCTCAGTGTGAACTCAAATCTAACTTTTTACAGCTTTTATTTATATTGGGACTTAACTCAATTATATCCTGTTATCTTTACAGAAACCATGTCTAAGGGACCAGCAGTTGGTATTGATCTTGGCACCACCTACTCTTGTGTGGGAGTCTTCCAACATGGCAAAGTAGAAATCATTGCCAATGACCAAGGTAACCGGACAACACCAAGTTATGTGGCCTTCACAGACACAGAAAGGCTCATTGGAGATGCTGCTAAAAATCAGGTTGCAATGAACCCAACGAACACCGTATTTGGTAAGTCTTTTTATTTTTAACGGTTAGTTGTATGGGGGTGTAAGAAATTGTGATCCTCTTACAAGGTTATTCTTTTAGGGATTGTGTGACAAATAAGACACACACGTATATAATATGTATTGTTGATATTGATCTAGGTTCTTCTTCTTACAGACTTAAAGGGAATATACACATTATAACCATTTCAAGTCCAAAACAAAAGATACTTCTACATTTAAATGAAGATCTTCCCCATGCACCTTAATCTTTGGTAGTCTGGGACTTTTTTCAGTTGACCATGGCACCTCTGCTTCCTGTGACCCTCCCCAAGAGACAGGCCTCCTTGGCTGTCCTTTAAAAGACTGATTCTTGCAGTCCTTAACTACATTTCCCAGAATCCCTTTAACCTCCCAAAAACTGGTTAATCCTTCACTCTTACACACATCCTTTTCTTTGATCCCACGGTATACTATAACATTCTGTAAGCGGTTAGGGTTTTAGGTTGGACAGGGTGGCTTGGGAGGGAGGGGAACAACTTCATGGTTGCACCTAGATGTTAATTACTCTAATCTTTATTTTTTTTTTTTTATTTTAACATGACCCTTAACCTATATAGCAAAGATTTGTACCCTTTGCCAACCTCCTTTGCTATGTAAATGGAATTCCACTGTGAAACCAGATGGCTTGTCTTATTACATAGCAGTCCTTTGCAAAGCATATGTCTATAGTAATGGATTACTGTGGTGTCAGGAAAACACTTGTTTTCCTGACACTATTTAACCCTTAGGTCACCCCTCCCTCAGGGCTGCCCTCCCCTGGTGCTGAGGGGGTTTAAACCCCCTTTAGTTACTTTAATCCAGCAATTGTGACCTCTCTTCCCAGCTTTCAGCTCCAGAGTAGAATGCACATGTGCGGCAAGAGCATTCAAACAGTTCCAGAGTTCTTCTCAGAAAGCCACTAGAGGCCAGATTAACCCTGAAATGTAAACATGGCTGTTTCTCTGAAACTGCTGTTAATATCAGATGGGTTAAAACCTGGGGGACCTGGCACCCAGACCACTTCATTGAGCTAAAGTAGTCTGGGTGCCTATAGTGTCATATTTTTTTTAATAGAAAATATTAATCATGAAAGGCACCCCATTTCTTACAGGGGTAGCTACAATGTTAGGATTGCATATTAACTGTTATCTAATGTCTGGGATAAAGTCTCACAAACATGAAACTTGTGTAAAATGTTCTAACAAGGTGACTCTCTTAATAGATGCCAAGCGTTTGATTGGCCGCAGATTCGAGGATACTGTTGTGCAGTCTGACATGAAGCACTGGCCCTTCAATGTTATAAGTGATGGAGGCAGACCAAAGGTCGAGGTGGAATACAAAGGTGAATCAAAATCTTTCTATCCAGAGGAGATCTCTTCCATGGTCTTGGTGAAGATGAAGGAAATTGCTGAGGCTTACTTGGGCAAGGTATTAACAGTGTAACGTTTGGATTTTATAAGCTTGTCTTAAACATCGTGTCAGCAGATCAATAAGTTTTTGTTTTTTCTTTCCCCTTTTAAAGACCGTGTGCAATGCAGTAATCACTGTACCAGCTTACTTCAATGACTCTCAGCGTCAAGCTACAAAGGATGCAGGCACAATCTCTGGCCTCAATGTGTTGCGTATAATTAACGAGCCAACTGCTGCAGCTATTGCTTATGGCTTGGATAAGAAGGTAACCATTGCAGTGCTAAACTATACTGTAACTCATAAGTTTTTTTTTTTTTTATGAACCATTGCTGTACAGTATAATCGCGGTGATGAATGATTCCAACGCCATTCGTAGTTTCCACCAGACCTGAGCTGCAAGGCTCATGATGGCACAATACCTTCCTTGGATGTCTGAGCGATTATGTTCCCTTGTTGTGGGGAGCATTCTTGGTGGCAAATTACATGATCTTGATGCCAATTGTGAATCTGTCAAACTTCCATCCTATAAATATGTCCAGTAACTTAATGTTAGCATTAACTTTAAAGTGCCTCTAGTCACATAATGTTTTATAAACAAAGTTGCTAAGGTTAAAGTGTGCCGGTCTCCTAGCACCATAAGAGGGGTTAAACGTCACACGTCAAGGTAAGCGTGGACAGGTGCTTTCTGGCACCACTGCAACTTAATTTATTTGGAGTTATTGTGATTGGTGTCTTAGTAAACTACCAGGCAAGGCCATAGGATGCACTCATTTTTTTTAATATTGTAATAAAGATGGTGTGCGGTGTCGAAGCTGCTACAAAAAATACATGTGCTTGTAAACCGTTATGCAGTGTTTACCAAAGTGAGTTCTTACAATTACTTGGGGTAACAATATTTTAAGTGTCTCCCACTAGGTTACGCTGGTGCCAATGTTTTTTTTTTTTTTGTGTAAAGTTTAATTTCAGTATATAAACTTTTTTTTATATATTTTTCCTTCAGGTTGGAGCAGAGAGAAACGTGCTTATCTTTGATCTTGGAGGTGGAACTTTTGATGTCTCCATCCTGACCATTGAAGATGGTATCTTTGAAGTAAAGTCAACAGCTGGTGACACTCACTTGGGTGGAGAAGATTTCGATAACCGCATGGTGAATCACTTTGTTGCAGAATTCAAAAGGAAACACAAGAAGGACATAATTGAAAACAAGAGAGCTGTTCGCCGTCTCCGCACTGCCTGTGAACGCGCAAAGCGTACCCTGTCATCAAGCACTCAGGCTAGCATTGAAATTGATTCCCTCTATGAAGGAATTGACTTCTACACCTCCATTACAAGAGCTCGTTTTGAAGAACTTAATGCAGATCTGTTCAGAGGAACCTTGGATCCAGTTGAGAAGTCACTCCGTGATGCCAAACTCGACAAATCACAAATTCATGATATTGTTCTGGTTGGTGGGTCAACTCGTATTCCTAAAATTCAGAAGCTGCTTCAGGACTTTTTCAATGGAAAGGAACTAAATAAGAGCATAAACCCTGATGAAGCTGTTGCCTATGGTGCAGGTATGTTCTGTAAACCTGATCCCTTGCCTTTCTATCATTCGCAGTGATGAATGATTCCAACGCCATTCGTAGTTTCCACCAGACCTGAGCTGCAAGGCTCATGATGGCACAATACCTTCCTTGGATGTCTGAGCGAATAGTCTTGGCTAGATAAACATCTGACTTGGTAACATGAACACTTGCTAATATTGCCTCCTTTCTCCAGCTGTGCAGGCTGCCATCTTGTCTGGTGACAAGTCAGAAAATGTCCAGGATCTTCTCTTGCTTGACGTTACCCCTCTGTCACTGGGTATAGAGACTGCTGGTGGTGTAATGACTGTCCTCATCAAGCGTAATACAACAATCCCCACAAAGCAGACACAGACCTTCACCACATACTCTGACAACCAGCCTGGTGTACTGATTCAGGTAAGATGTCAGACCATATAGGTGGCCTTAAATGTAGTTCTACCTGTGACAAACCTCTAAAGTAACTTTATTTTTTTTCTTAATCTCTAGGTGTATGAAGGTGAGAGGGCCATGACCAAGGATAACAATCTGTTGGGTAAATTTGAGTTAACTGGCATCCCTCCAGCTCCCAGAGGTGTTCCTCAAATTGAAGTAACCTTTGATATTGACGCGAATGGCATTCTCAATGTATCTGCTGTGGACAAGAGCACAGGCAAAGAAAACAAGATCACAATTACAAATGACAAAGGTAAGCTACTGTCTGATCTAACTTGTCGCAGTGATGAATGATTCCAAAGCCATTCGTAGTTTCCACCGGATGTCGAAAGGCATATGACGGCTTTATACCTTCCTTGGATGTCTGAGCGACAAATTAACTTAAATCTTCTCTGCATAGATAACATGTATCTCAACACCGCTGAACTTGGTCTAGCATTCTTACTGTTGAAGTGCATGTATGGTTGATTGCTCATTGCATAACTTAATCTAGCCTTAAGACTGCTTCTGCATTGGCGTTTCCTTTACTGATCGATCTACTCACTCATTGTTCTGTTTTTACTCTTGCAGGTCGTCTAAGCAAGGAGGACATTGAGCGTATGGTCCAAGAAGCTGAGAAATACAAGGCTGAAGATGAGAAGCAGAGAGACAAAGTTTCTTCTAAGAACTCATTGGAGTCCTATGCTTTCAATATGAAAGCAACTGTGGAAGATGAGAAGCTTAAAGGAAAGATCAGTGATGAGGACAAACAGAAGATCATGGATAAATGCAATGAGATTATCTCCTGGCTAGACAAGAATCAGGTATGTGAAGTGACTTAGAAACAAATTGCAGAGAACTTTTGAAAGGGGGTACAATTCCTAAAATTTAATTTCTAGGCTCAAACTTGTCTTTCACTATTGAACTGATCTGCAGGTAGTGAAGAGTAAACTCTATGCACTCTTCCTGGCTTATTTTGTGAACTCTAACTCAATAGAGAATTTTCGTAAATCTTTTCATGGTGGTTGATGGCTCTACACTGCTGCTTACAGTATAAGCTGTTGGACAGCTGCAATAAACAATCAGACAAATGTATACATGATTAGTGTGCAGGCTGACTCCAAACTTTCACAACTATCAGACAGGAAAAGTGTTCAGCCAGCCAAGGGCAATTACTTTAGAATAAACATGTAAACCTAACATGGGAGATCTGCATTAAGTGACACAACATGCCTGTCGCGGTGATGAATGATTCCAAAGCCATTCGTAGTTTCCACCAGATGTCGAAAGGCACATGATGGTTTTATACCTTCCTTGGATGTCTGAGCGACCTGTCTCCTTGCAATGGAGGGAGTGGCAGGAAGATTTCTTACACACCCTCCAGATTTCATAGTTCAATAGTATATATTGGTCCAGAGTTTTTTGTGGAACTGCTACTTGTCCACTTGTTAAAATCATACTATAACTCTAAATTTTTTTTTTTTTTTCCCAGACTGCTGAAAAGGAAGAGTTTGAACACCAGCAGAAGGAACTGGAGAAGGTTTGCAACCCTATTATCACCAAACTGTACCAGGGTGCAGGTGGCATGCCTGGAGGAATGCCTGGTGGTATGCCAGGAGGCTTCCCTGGTGCTGGTGAACACACCGGTGGATCATCTGGACCCACTATTGAAGAGGTCGACTAATCCTAAAATGGAACACCATTCCTCGGGTTTTCTCGTCTCTATTCCTAGGACACTTTGTATTGGCTGTTCAGAATTAATTCCCATAAGCTGCTGTAAAATTATTTTCAGGGGCATTAATACTTGAAGTCACTCCATAATGCAGGAGAAAAGAACACCATTGCACTTACTCACTGTACTGTAAACCTATGGGTCCAGATGAATAAAATCCTCCTTAATTGGCAACTTGTGTCTGTAGAAATGAGTCTTATAAGGTTGTTTTCATATAATTTCTATAATTTTTTTAATCCCTGTACAAGGTTTAGTTTGGTTAAAACAGCTGTGCATACTTGAAGTCTATAAGGAGACTAATGCCTGTCGGGACTCCAGTTTCTGTGAGCTGTGTGAAGGTTATAACTATATAAAAGGCTTGTGAACACGTAATGGAAGGAAGAATGTGCGAAGGACCATAGTCACAAAGGTTGAGCCCTGTGATAAGGTCTATGAGCACATGTATTATCAGTGTAAGTAGTCCTCAACTGGCAAGTGTTGGCATTGTAACTGAATTTCACCACTCTGCACATTTAAAAAAAATGTATCTTTATTTTTGTAGTGCATAGTATAATATACAACTTAATGTAGACACTTCATAATCATATTTAAAATGTGGGGGACATATGATTGTAACACTGACACAATTTGTCACACACTTCCAAAAGGACTTTCCAGACACTCTGAAATGCTTTAGTGGCTTCTCACCCTAGCTGTTAGGTCATCAGTGTATCTCTCTGAACCAGGTTTATCACCCCTGAAAATTTTTATTTATTTTTTTAGCCAGGCAAAAGCTATTACCCTTCATGCAGCCAGGTTTATTTTATGAATAAATTTGTTTATTCCTTGTCAACCCTTCAGTAGATCTACTTAACAGATCTATCACGGGTCGAGGTCTGGGGTTCTTTAACAATTGGGCTGGCATTTATTTAATAAAATTTCAGAATCTGATCAATACTCCCACCACACGTCTGTCCCTTTCATTCCACAGCTCCTCCAACACACCTCGGATTTTTATTTCGATAGTTTTACTGGTGGTAGCTCTTCATATCTGCTGCCATTCAATGCCTTCCAGTTCCTCGTCTGAATGTTCCCATTGGTCTGTATGTTAATCTCCCACAGTCTGAGCGGCGCTGGGCATGAAGCTATCAGGCATTTAGGCATAATTTCAATTATTCTTTGAACATTGTTTAACCCCTTAAGGACACATGACGTGTGTGACATGTCATGATTCCCTTTTATTCCAGAAGTTTGGTCCTTAAGGGGTTAATGTGCCGCATCTGGTATGTGGGATATTTTAAAAAAAACAAAAACCCTAATCTCAAGATATATTAAAGTCAGAAGGCTTAAGATGCCTCCTTTGCTTAAGATCATCAAACCACCTCCGTGCCCTGGACTAGGTGACAAATCCACTCTAGGCATGCTTGCTCTAGATTATGGAAATCCTTAACTGTCATACATGGGGTAAATACGGAGGTAAGGCATAAGGTTTCACAATTAGTGAATTGAGTATTGTTGGGCAAGTAGCTTTAATCAGGGGTCTGTGTTCTTCGGGTACTCGCATGATGAATTGAGGTAAGTCTGCTCCCGACATAAGGTATTCCAAGTCCACCAGTTTCCTCTGGTCTGGGGGAAGAGTGCCACATCGCTACTTGCATTAATTGAGCTGTTAAATAGGAATATAGGCTGGTTAAACAAGTCTGCCTTGTGTTTTCAGTTGGTACAAGATGTCTTGCTATCCTGTGCCATTTGTTGCCATATAAAGGCCCTGATTGCTTGTAGTAGGTGTTCCCTAGTGAGATGAATAGCTAGTGTCTGGAACAACAAGAATTCTTGGCAGGCCATTCATTTTGACTGACTGGACCTGTCCTATTCATGATATGGGTTTATCTGTCCACTTTTCTATATCCCGTAAAAGCTTTCATGGGCACCTAATTCTGTGTAGTTTCTCTGGGTCTGCTATTATTTGGATCTCTGGGTACTTAAGCGAGTTTTCTAGGCTTATGATACATGTATCACATATTAGTGCAGTGTCCGCCGCAGATATTCTGACAGGGAGAGCACTAGACTTGGACATGTTTGCCTTGTAGCCAGAGATTGTCCCATAATCAGAGGACCTACCCTAAAGCCACCATAGAGTCCACTGGGCTCGTGAGTGTGAAAAGCACATCATCTGCGTATGACGATATTAGGAAGTCTTTACCTTCCCACCTTGACCCCTTGTATGTCTGGATGGTGCCTTAGCAGCTGAAGGAGAGGTTCTAGTGAGAGCACAAATAGAAGGGGGATGGAGGACATCCCTGTCAAGTGCCATTATATAGCTGGAAAGGGTAGACGGGGGGCCCCGAGATTAGTACTTGTGCTTGTATGTTATACATTATTGCCATTTATATAGCGCCAACAGATTCCATAGCGCTTTATAATATTATGAGGGGGGATTTAACTATAAATAGGACAATTACAAGAAAACTTACAGGAACAATAGGTTTTACGTGGACCCTGCTCAAACAAGCTTACAGTCTATAGGCCTTTATCAAGGTGATATATGGTTCTGGAAAGCCCAAGTGGGACAGCAAGGTAAAGAGGTAAGGCTACTTGACTCTATCAAAAGCCTTTTCAGCGTCGATAGAAACAACCAATGTAGGGGAATGGGTGGCCACCTGTTTCCATAGCTACGCGTATTTTCAAACAACTGTCTGCCAGGTATGAAGCCTACTTGATAGACATAATCCTTTCTTAAAGGCTCAGATGCCAATCGGCTTGAATCTTTGCAAGGATCTTCATATCAAGGTTTGAGTGGAATGGGTCTGTAGTTCTCTGGGAGTAATGAGTCTTTGTCTGGCTTCGGTAGTAGGACATACAGTCAGGTCCATAAATATTGGGACATCGACACAATTCTAATCTTTTTGGCTCTATACACCAACACAATGGGTTTGAAATGAAACACGATGTGCTTTAACTGCAGACTTTCAGCTTTAACCCCTTAAGACCGGAGGGTATTTGTGTTCAGCGAAGTCTCCTGAGTACAACAGTACCCCTCATGTACAGGTTTTATGCTGTTTTCAAAAGTTACAGCGTCAAATATAAGGCTTGCGTTTCATTTTTTTCACATTAAAATTCGCCAGATTGGTTACGGTGCCTTTGAGACCCTATGGTAGCCCAAGAATGAAAATTGCAATAGTAGACAACCCAAGGTATTGCAAACGGGGTATGTCCTGTCTTTTTTAGTAGCCACTTAGTCACCAAAATTGGCGTTTTTTGCATTTTTCACACAAACAAATACTAACGCTAGCTTTGGCCAGTGTTTGTGACCAAATGGCTACTAAAAAAGACTGGACATACCCAATTTGCAATACCTTGGGTTGTCTACTATTGCAAATGGTATGCCATTGTGGGTGTAAATTTAATTCCTGGGCTGCTATAAAGTCCCAAAGGCAATGTAACCAATCTGGCGAATTTCAATTTCAAATGTAACGTGCTATATTTGACCCTGTAACTTCCCAAAACGCCATAAAACCTGTACATAGGGGGTATTGTTTTACACGTGAGACTTTGCTGAATACAAATATGTGTATTTTATTGCAGTAAAAGAAAACCGTATTATGACATTGACAGTTAAAATGTCATGTAGAACTAAAAAAATTAAAACAAAATCTTATTTAATCCCATTTTTTTCATATTAAATTATCTTTCATAGCTAAATATTTGATATTCAATGAAAGCCCTGTTTCCCCTGAATAAAATGATATATAATAAGGGAGGGTGAATTTACTATGAAAGAGTTGAATTACGGTTGGACAAACATGTAGCGCAAATGCCAGGTTTTGTTTACATTTTGTTTCGTTCACAACGTGTACATTTGGCTCCGTCCGTAAGGGGTTCATTTGAGGGTATTTACATCCAAATCAGGTGAACGGTGTAGGAATTACAAAAGTTTGTATATGTGCCTCCCACTTTTTAAGGGACCAAAAGTAATGGGACAGATTAACAGTCATAAATCAAACTTTCACTTTTTAATACATGGTTGCAAATACTTTGCAGTTAATTACAGCCTGAAGTCTGGAACGCATAGACATCACCAGATGCTGGGTTTCATCCCTGGTGATGCTCTGCCAGGCCTCTACTGCAACTGTCTTCAGTTCCTGCTTGTTCTTGGGGCATTTTCCCTTCAGTTTTGTCTTCATCAAGTGAAATGCATGCTCAATCGGATTCAGGTCAGGTGATTGACTTGGCCATTGCATAACATTTCACTTCTTTCCCTTAAACTCTTTGGTTGCTTTTGCAGTATGCTTCAGGTCATTGTCCATCTGCACTGTGAAGCACCGTCCAATGAGTTCTGAAGCATTTGGCCGAATATGAGCAGATAATATTGCCCGAAACACTTCAGAATTCATCCTGTTGCTTTTGTCAGCAGTCACATCAATAAATACAAGAAAACCAGTTCCATTGGCAGCCATACATGCCCACGCCATGACACTACCACCACTATGCTTCACTGATGAAGTGGTATGCTTTGGATCATGAGCAGTTCCTTTCCTTCTCCATACTCTTCTCTTCCCATCACTCTGGTACAAGTTGATCTTGGTCTCATCTGTCCATAGGATGTTGTTCCAGAACTGTGAAGGCTTTTTTAGATGTTTGGCAAAGTCTAATCTGGCCTTCCTGTTTTTGAGGCTCACCAATGGTTTACATCTTGTGGTGAACCCTCTGTATTCACTCGGATGAAGTCGTCTCTTGATTGTTGACTTTGACACACATACACCTAACTCCTGGAGAGTGTGCTTGATCTGACCAACTGTTGTTTTCTTCACCAGGGAAAGAATTCTTCGGTCATCCACCACAGTTGTTTTCCGTGGTCTTCCGGGTCTTTTGGTGTTGCTGAGCTCACCGGTGCGTTCTTTCTTTTTAAGGATGTTCCAAACAGTTGATTTGGCTACACCTAATGTTTTTGTTATTTCTCTGATGGGTTTTGTGACGAGACCAATCTCGACACTGTGCATTGGAGGAGCCTGGTTGCCCGCCTGCTGCCTTTAGACTATGGCCCCATGTTGAAACGCTTGATTTTCCCCTGCGAAAGCCGGGTAATTCAGTGCTGGCCCTGTTTGAGCGGTGATAGCTATGCCATGGAGCCCATTCGTATAATGAAAGACTATGGGAAAGACTTTGGCTCCATGGCAATTGAGCTGTATGTGTGTGCTCTGAGCGCCATCCAGTAATAATGTGCGCTCAGATCTGAGCTATCTGGGGATATGTTGAATGTACCTGTTTTGTGCAGTGGCTGCACAGTTAAATATTTTTATGTGTTTTATTGTCTTTTGCTGCCATGTGTTCAATGGAGTTTTGCCTCTGTCCTTTGAGATAATTGGATTACTTCCCAATTATCTCCAGGATAGAAGACTCTGTGAAACTGGTTTTGGGCAGAAAAGCCATGCTTCATTTGGTCACAAAGGACTTCGATGTATCTTTTGAACCAATGGACCAATTTGGATGATTTTGACATATGTTTGTATTTGGAGTATGCTGATTCTGAAAATGTAATTTATGTGAATGTGATGCATACTTTTCAAGTTATGAATAATGTGGAAAAACTGTATTTCTCTGCTGGTGATAATTACATTACCCATTGTGTAAGGTAATTGTATCACAGGCAGAGGGGAGGATTTTGTGTGGGAGTGTCTGAGTGTATTGTATGTGTTTATTGGTTATTTTCCAAAACCCTGCGGGTGGTACTAATGTGTATATAAGAACAATAAACCCACAGCTCTGACTTCACTGCTTGACCCCCAACACGGAGCTTTGTCTCGTTCTTGGGGGGATTTACTGTATGCTGTTCCAGTTTGACTGCTAGGAGTGTAAACCTATATGTATGGTTTTTCCTATTCGTCTGTCTACAGCATTCGTATGTTTGAGAGCATTCATAGGCTTCTCCGGTTCAGTGGATTGGTGTCTACAGTAGCTGCCTGTGTCTCTGGAAGGGGAAGATCTTCTAAACGGCGGTTTAACCCTATTATGCCTGGGGGTGCCGTTACAGGTTTGTTTTGTTTTTTCAGTCTAATGATGGCTTGATAGTGACAGCTCTTTGGATCTCATATTGAGAGTTGACAGCAACAGATTCCAAATGCAAATAGCACACTTGAAATGAACTCTGGACCTTTTATCTGCTCCTTGTAAATGGGATAATGAGGGAATAACACACACCTGGCCATGGAACAGCTGAGCAGCCAATTGTCCCATTACTTTTAGTCCCTTGAAAAGTGGGAGGCACATATACAAACTGTTGTAATTCCTACACCGTTCACCTGATTTGGATGTAAATACCCTCAAATTAAAGCTGAAAGTCTGCATTTAAAGCACAACTTGTTCATTTCAAATCCATTGTGGTGGTGTATAGAGCCAAAAAGATTACAATTGTGTTGATGTCCCAATATTTACGGACCTGACTGTATCATGGTCAGGTGTGCGGTGAGATCCTCCGCCTGGATGAAGGGAACAAGCTCCAGGGTAAGACTATTGACTCTGTTCGGTAGTTTGTTTGTTTTCAAACTTGGGGGTTAAGCACCATTGAAGGGATGGAGCTAAACAAACTGAAAAACCATAAACACAACATAATCTACACATTGCACCACGTGGCTGCTCTGACCATCTGCAGAAAGGCACTTTTAGGATTATTCACTAAAGTGAGACTTCTCAGTGAATTCAAAGTGCGTTTTAAATTTAAGATCAAACTGGATTAAAGCTGCTTTGGTCTTGATTTTAGATTTCTCTTACAATTCACTTTTAGTGTTTTAATTGGTAGAAGTTGAGTCAAACAATTGCAAACTTAGTGTATTTGGGGTGCATGTATACTAAAAATCTTTGATATGTGCGGTACAATGAGGGTTTGTAATAGGGCGCCCTCTTATTTATACCCGTTCCCAAATGAAATGCACCACTTTTTACACGCTGCAAAGGCCAGGGGAGCACAGAGGAAGAACACTCAGAGTAAAGCCAGTTGCAACATTTTATTATTGATGCAAATATCCGGGCCATGATCCAATGACTGTCATTGTACTACCTTTCCCATAATTCCCTGCAAGTCAAATTATGAGACCTGTTCTACAGCGAGAGCAAAGGGACCACATGTGGCCAGCTATGGTGCAAGTGGCGACAAAACCACCTCTGTACACCACAATCTTCCATGTACATCAGTTTAAAAAAAAACAACAATAAAAACACTGCAAAATCCATTTATCTTCACAATTCCTGTGATTACATGATAGTTGACCTACAAACATGTGCAGTGCATGTATTCCTGACAGGATTAAACTGATCTGCGCAGCCAACACTCTGGCCCATTCATAACCACTTTCGAGAGGTGATGTTGGTCATAGGTTGGGAGTTTGTTTCCCAGGATCCTTTGTATTCAGGTCCATCTATGACTTCCCCTGACGTAACTACAATCACTTGGCATCCTTATTAAATCCCTGTTGAGCAAGTAGCTCTGTCACGTCAGACTGAAATCTCACAGATGATTCATCTGCAGACTGCCAAGACAAACATTTCACGGTGGATTGTCCCTCTGTCACACACACAGACTCGAAGAATCATTTTTGGTCTTTCCCTCCTCTTCAATCGAAAGCATTAGGTCATTTACTGGACCTTTGCCGGATTCCTGTTGGGGGTAATGTGACGCAAACATTGTGTTCTCTTTACATTGATCTGAATGACTTTCATACTCGCTCGATACAGTTATTTGAGCTGAATGACTCTCAGAATCACTGGATACAGTTATCTGACGGTTTGGAACTTCTGAGATCGATCCCACAAGCACCGTGTCAGCCTTCATAATGTAGATCTTTTCTATACAAAACAAAAAACAGAAAAACATGAAATCAGGTTGGGTTTTTGGGCATGTTACATATTACTGTGATACTATTGAAAGTACTCTTAATATTATTTTATTTTTTGTTCAAGGAATGTCAGTGACTTTCCCCTTTCTCAAACATATTGAGAACTTGCAACATCAGAGATCTCTTCCACTACTTGGTCAACGAGGAGCCTTCTCAATCTGATGTTTACTAAGGTAGAGGGGACTAATAGTAAGTGGGGTCCAACCTCTGCCCCTTGGACATTCCATACCGGTACTAGGTGTTCAATGCCTAAAAGGGGTTGATGGTCCAAACCAGGGATGTTGGCGAGTTACATCACCCACTAGGCTCGGCCAGTCTGAACTTGCTTAATCTGTCAGAAGCCTCCTGCTGCGGGGGAATTTCTGTGGCACTTTTTTTTTTAGGTCAGATCGTCAATTCTCTATAAATATGTCACTTTTATGAAATCTCCAAATATGCAAATAACCCATTCTCCATAGCAGTTGTTCAGTATGTGTCAGCAGAGTACTTTCATAAACGAACATTTTTCTTGCACTTTATGCATTGTCATAGCTACATATGTAGCTATACCTTCCCGGCTGTGTAGATTCTTTATAAATCTCACCTATTCTGTTAGTCAAGTGATCCCTGTCGTGAACATCCGGCTTATCTCGTAGAAAGCGCTCACTGTCACTCTGCGTGTCCGTCTCTCTCTTCACGAAAACGTCTGGCTCTGGGACGGTATTTTCCTTGCAGAGCAAACCATCCTTCATATGTTCCTCTCTGTACTTAAACAGATTTGTGTTTTTTTTCTGTAAAGGGCAAATGTGATAGGTATAGATTATCACTGACAGCGATACAGAGGGTATCAAAACAAGACAGGAATAATAATTTGTTAAAAAAAATACATACAGTATCTCACAAAAGTGAGTACACCCCTCACATTTTTGTAAATATCTCATTATATCTTTTCATGTGACAACACCGAAGAAATTACACTCTGTTACAATGTAAAGTAGTAAGTGTATAGCCGGTATAACAGGGTAAATTTGCTGTCCCCTCAAAATAACTCCACACACAGCCATTAATGTCTAAACCGTTGGCAACAAAAGTGAGTACACCCTTAAGTGGAAATGTCCAAATTGGGCCAAATTAGCCATTTTCCCTCCCCAGAGTCATGTGTCTCGTTAGTGTTACAAGGTCTCAGGTGTGAATGGGGAGCAAGTGTGTTTAATTTGGTGTTATCGCTCTCACACTTTCTCATACTGGTCACTGGAAGTTCAGCATGGCACCTCATGGCAAAGAACTCTCTGAGGATCTGAAAAAAAAGAATTCTTACTCTACATAAAGATGGCCTAAGCTATAAGAAGATTGCCAAGACCCTGAAACTCAGCTGCAGCACAGTGGGCAACACCATACAGTGGTTTCACAGGACAGGTTACACTCAGAACAGGCCTTGCCGTGGTCGACCAAAGAAGTTGAGTGCATGTGCTCAGCATCATATCCAGAGGTTGTCTTTGGGAAATAGACAAATGAGTGCTGCCAGCATTGCTGCAGAGGTTGGAGGGGTGGGGGGGTCAGCCTGCCAGTGCTCACACCATACACTGCATGCTGCATCAAATTGGTCTGCATGGCTGTCGTCCCAGAAGGAAGCCTCTTCTAAAGATGATGCACAAGTAAGCCCGCAAACAGTTTGCTGAAGACAAGCAGACTAAGGACATGGATTACTGGAACCATGTCCTGTGGTCTGATGAGACCAAGATAAACTTATTTGGTTCAGATGGTGTCAAGATTGTGTGGCAGCAACCAGGTGAGAAGTACAAAGACAAGTGTGTCTTGCCTACAGTCAAGCATGGTGGTGGGAGTGTCATAGTCTGGGCCTGCATGAGTGCCAACATGTACTGTGACATACTGAAGCAGAGCATGATCCCCTCCCTTCGGAGACTTGGCTGCAAGGCAGTGTTTGAAACATGATAACGACCCCAAACACACTTCTAAGATGACCACTGCCTTGCTAAAGAAGCTGAAGGTAAAGGTGATGGACTGGCCAAGCATGTCTCCAGACCTAAACCCTATAGAGCATCTGTAGGGCATCCTCAAACGGAAGGTGGGGGAGCGCAAGGTCTCTAACATCCACCAGCTCCGTGATGTCGTCATGGGCAGGAGTGGAAGAGGACTCCAGTGGCAACCTGTGGTGCTCTGGCGAACTCCATGCCTATGAGGGTTAAGGCAGTGCTGGAAAATAATGGTGGCCACACAAAATATTGACACTTTGGGCCCAATTTGGACATTTCCACTTAGGGGTGTACTCACTTTTGTGAGATACTGTATAGCCATTTTAAATATAAAGCAAATGATTTATCCAAACTGTTATTTTATTGTAGGTTGCAGGTTGCTTCTGTTGAAAGTTACCGATGCCACCGAACATTTAGAATGTCACCTTAAAACCAATAATATCGTACTTACTCTAATTTAATGCGCACTTCAATTTTTGAAACCTGGAAGCCAAAAAATGATTTTGCACATTTGTACAAGAAGATGTGTACACAGAAACCACCAAGTCTTGCTCGCATCCCTTAGCAGTGATGCGAATTTTGAGGTATTTTAGAGGAAAATGATCATGTGCAGTTTCATAATACGTAGCCTACAGATTGTTCAGTAATAAATTAAAGTGTGGCCACTACAGAGATTACTACAAATAGATGGAACCTGCAGAGCTAGCAATGTTTTTAGGCTTGGGCTAATCTTACTGAGTTACTGGAGAGTTTGGGGTATTCTCAAGCATGGATTCAGTAAATTTACTTCAAAGTGCGCAATATTCAGCTTATCATTTTTTATCTGCTTTGCTGTGGCATTGGGTCCACATTCTGTCTTGCTGTTTTTCAGAGATGTAGAATAAGTAAAGTTGATCCTTGCTCTATGTTGGGATAGGTTTTGGAATTGAAAAATTATGAAATGCAGCGGATTTTGGCACATTAGATTGAGAGTACGAAAGGGGAAATGCAAATTTTGCCCCATACTGGAATCTAATGCACCATCGGATCTTATGTGCATTCAAATTTTGGAAACTTTATTTTGCCAATAAAGTTAGATTCAAGTAGACACGCTATGCTCTATGCTCTATGAGTACAGATGACCTATGCACAAAGTATGATACCCTCTTGTGCGTACTGAGTCTAATCAAACAGGCTTTGCTAATCCCCTGGGCTGGTGCCCCCTAGTGGTCTATTTAGTAATTCCAACCTCCTTTGAACATTTTGGAGCTAATTGCCAGGGACGTTGCCGGACACACTGCAGTAGCGGATCATAGGATTAGTCTGGCAGTGCATTGTGGGAGTTTGTGGAAAACTGTCAGAATCCAACTTTGTCAAAATTCCGACCGATTTCATGTCATAACTAGCGATGCACACAAAAGGGTTAATTCCCTAAATCAGAGAAATGTAAAAAAATTAGCAAATTTGAACTGGAAAAATATTGAAGGCCTCGATTTACTATTTTTGGCTAAATGTTTAAACTGATTGAATATTTAATTTTTTTTTCCTATATATTGGTATATTTTTTTATACTTTAAAAAAAAGTTTATTCAAAAAGATTGAATCATTTGAAAAGCTCATCCAAATATAAGAGAATATTCAGCCCATCTCAAACTGCAATAAAAAGTAAAACATTTTAATAAATTATTAGCACTGTTAGTGCCAGCCAGTTAGCATGTTTGTAAAATAGATTTTAATTAACTTGTATTGCATATACGGTGATGTTACATAAACCCTTATTTTACTTGTATAATTCGCACAATAAATATACTTACAGAAGGGAATTTATAAAGCTGAAGACCTGCAAAAGAAATGTAGAATTTTAAAAAGATATTGAAATAAAATAAAATAACAGTTATTAAATATTATGTAAGTAACTCTATGCAACAGCACAAACAGATTATTTTTAACTTCAGGTGGCATTTTTAAGAAGTGTCATAATTAATTAAAAAATATCATCATGTTCCTTGTGAATACACACAGGCAGAGCATTTGCCTTTTTCGGTTGTTCATGATTGTCACACCGATACCTATGTTAATATTCAAGGCTTTTGATATGCAGTATAGAGCCTAAAGGGAACATGAAGACATTAAGATTGTGAATTTGCGCTACATTATATGTTTTTGGTATTCGTGAACAACAATCTGAGTGAATGTTCATTCTGGCAGTTGGTGGTGAGTGAATGTTCATTCTGGCAGTTGATGGGGAGTGAATGTTCATTCTGGCAGTTGATGGGGAGTGAATGTTCATTCTGGCAGTTGATGGGGAGTGAATGTCCATATGTCTGTTGATGGGGAGTGAATGTTCATTCTGGCAGTTGGTGGGGAGTGAATGTTCATTCTGGCAGTTGGTGGGGAGTGAATGTTCATTCTGGCAGTTGATGGGGAGTGAATGTTCATTCTGGCAGTTGGTGGTGAGTGAATGTTCATTCTGGCAGTTGATGGGGAATGAATGTTCATTCTGGCAGTTGGTGGTGAGTGAAATGTTCATTCTGACAGTTGATGGGGAGTGAATGTTCATTCTGGCAGTTGATGGGGAGTGAATGTCCATATGGCAGTTGATGGGGAGTGAATGTCCATATGGCAATTGAAGGGGAGTGAATGTTCATTCTGGCAGTTGATAGGGAGTGAATGTTCATTCTGGCAGTAGATGGGGAGTGAATGTTCATTCTGGCAGTTGATGGGGAATGAATGTTCATTCTGGCAGTTGATGAGGAGTGAATGTTCATTCTGGCAGTTGATGGGGAGTGAATGTTCATTCTGGCAGTTGATGGGGAGTGAATGTTCATTCTGGCCGTTGATGGGGAGTGAATGTCCATATGTCAGTTGATGGGGAGTGAATGTTCATTCTGGCAGTTGATGGGGAGTGAATGTTCATTCTGGCAGTTGATGGGGAGTGAATGTCCATATGGCAGTTGATGGGGAGTGAATGTCCATATGGCAGTTGATTGTTTGTAACGAGTAGCATGGTAATTAGTGCTGACTAACTGATACTGTGGCAGTTACTAGTGGTTGACTGTTACTATGACTTCTGGTGGTGACTACACTATGACATTTGATGATGTTATCAGCAGCAAGGGATTCTTGACGCCCCTCCATTATACTAGCAATGTGAGTTGGTGCAATTAGTTGAATTCAAAGAACCTCAATAAAGAAATAATCTGTAGATAAATACCGGTAAGGGGTGCATCAATAGGTCAGTTGGTGGCCGGTACCTTAGATACTTCCTGCTGCATTCTCTGACTGTGACGGTTTATTTTATAATGTTACTAAACAGAAAAAAAGGATCCTCTGTGATGAAATGTCTGAAAATGATTAGCTAATCTCTTACCTTTCTGATTTGAAATCAATGGTTTCATTTTCCAAATATTCTGCTTCCAAGCAAATCTGAGACTTATTACCAGGATTAGTAAACAGATAATCCCCCCCACGATGTACCACGGAAACAAAGTACCTGGAAAGGTATACACATATCAGAAAAGGTACACGTGTTAGGGGAGTATACACTAACAGGCGAGGTATTTTACAAGTGTCTTGGAACCTGAAGCAGTAATAGAATGTATCAGGATGTCTGTGTCAATGGGAAGATTATCAAAATGAATGGGCAGGCTCCCGTGTGCATGGGCAAAAAGCTGACCCCAGTAGTTTAACAAATAAAAATAAAGGCTTGCAAAATACCTTTACTTTCCACACAGTTTCAGCAGTCTCTCTGTCTCTACCCCAGCTCTTCACAGGAGAGACTGATTTCCCTCTGCATAGGGTTTATGTAGCTCCCTAATTGATGTACTAAAGCAACCTGATTTTTAACCCCCTCCATTCAGGGAACACCGAAAGTGCCATTCTGGGGCTAATATAGCAGTGTCCCCTCACACTGCCACAGGCCATATTAACAGGGTTTCAAGATTAATGTCAAGTTTCTAAGGGCGAGTCTCAGGATTTCAGAATCACACAGTTTGCTGCTGTGAAATAATTGGGCAATTGGGGGACATCCTCCTATTATGTCATTGCCAGAATAATGATTATTAGTTACTATTTAGACATCTTTCTGACAGTGAGAGTTACTCATATCCTTTTCGGCTGTTGCATGCACACTTACAATCAAATTGGTAAAAAGAAAAGTTTTTACTGTATTTTACATACCAGTATCTGCCGTAACAGTTGGTACCAAAGACACAGAATCAGATCCAGTTGTTGCCATTGAGTGACTGACAGTCACATGTTGATGCCGGGTTGTGAGGGGTTTGTGGGCAGTTAAATAGAGATCTGGTGTACGTTTACTCGTTTTATTTCGTACAAAATTCTGCATTGTTGGTTTGAGAAGTCGACTGAAAAAAATGCAAATGCTGTTATTTTTCTTTTGATATAAAATTATGTGTTTTCTATTCTTTTTGACTAAAATACCCTAATATCCCAGCCATGTGATATAATACCCTGAGATCCCAGCCATGTGATATAACACTCTGAGATCCCAGCCATGTGATATAATACCCTGAGATCCCAGTCATATGATATAATACCCTGAGATCCCATCCATGTGATATAATACCCTGAGATCTCAGCCATGTGATATAATACCCTGAGATCCCAGCCATGTGATATAATACCCTGAGATCCCAGCCATGTGATATAATACCCTGAGATCACAGCCATGTGATATAATACCCTGAGATCCCAGCCATGTGATATAATACCCTGAGATCCTAGTCATGTGATATAATACCCTGAGATCCTAGTCATGTGATATAATACCCTGAGATCCCATCCAGTGATATAATACCCTGAGATCCCATCCATGTGATATAATACCCTGAGATCCCAGTCATGTGATATAATACCCTGAGATCCCAGCCATGTGATATAATACCCTGAGATCCCAGTCATGTGATATAATACCCTGAGATCCCAGCCATGTGATATAATACCCTGAGATCCCAGTCATGTGATATAATACCCTGAGATCCCAGTCATGTGATATAATACCCTGAGATCCCAGCTAGTGATGTCCTGAACTGTTCGCTGAACGGTTCGCGAACTGTTCGCCACGAACGGTTCGCCGCGGACTCCAGTCAGCTGACACATTCAAGCCAATCAGCAGCAGACCCTCCCTCACAGACCCTCCCACCTCCTGGACAGCATCCATTTTGAAGCTGCATTCTTAGTGAGCTGTCCAGGAGGTGGGAAGGTCTGGGAGGGAGCCAGCCATGTGATATAATTCCCTGAGATCCCACCCATGGCTATTCCCTGGCCATATGAAGGTTTCATGGAGTTAGTCCTTACGTTGTGTGAGATTTACATCCTTCAGAACCATTGGAATGTGATCCTAGCGGACACTCTTCACACACTGTGTCATTGAATGCGTTCCCTGCAAACATAGACATTGATTTGACGGTTTTTATATACATACTATGTAGTATGGGACCATATATTATTCTCATTGGTATTTATACAGTGTCAGTCTATTAGCAGTGCTTTATTAAGGGTGAATTGTACAATAAAGAGAGAATTACAAATTGTTCCAGGAACAATAGGTAGATGAGGGACCCTGTTCATATGATCTTTCAATCTAGAGTAGTAAATGTGAATATGAATTAAAAAGAATCAGATGTATTTTATCTCTTTTGTCCTGTTTGGCAAATTTAACCACATATTATTAATTATATTCGTCTGCTTTTTTCCCACTAAATTAAACTAGAATTGTGCAAAACTGACCGAGCTGATTTTAGGCCTGAACTGTGCAGTTTAATCAATTTCCAGTTTAATAAACCTTTTCTGTATAAAGTGAAATGGCCCAGATCCAGTAAATGGAGTCCCCTCTTGACGATGTGAAATATATCAAGTGCTGTTCTGGGACAAAGTGATAAATAATCAGAATGATCAGAGTGAGAACCAGTAGGATGTCTCAGCATTTAGCAGTTTGTGCCCAGAATAGCACATGGCGTGGATTGATAAACCTCCCCTAAAATGCTCTCGTGGAACTCTGCCATGCAGGATTTGCATATAAAGTTTAGATTTATTCATCATCATTTAATGGCGCGGGAATGGCGCTGTGCTCAATAGGGCAGTGTCACCAGAGTTAAGGTTAGCTAGAAAGTATTTATTTGTAGGCTCTATTAACACCAAATCCCCCTAAAGATAAACATCCCTAACCCACAGCCACCCTAATCCTATTGGTTTATCTATAACACTGCATCTCATAATTACAGCCCTGGATACATCACTCTCTGCACTATAACCACCATGTCTCACATTGTTCAAATAATGATAAAGCAAAATCACAGAGATCACAAGACTAACATAGGAAATAAAAACTCTTTTATACAACAGGAAAGTGGTATAATTAGTGATACCGGCATGTGCGTAACGAAGAAGAATATCATTTTATAGAATAGTATTTGTTTAAAAACTGTTCGAGTTTTACATTACTCTGTCCACCCTTGGGCGTGGTTGTAGAGTCGACCTTTAAGCATTTTTCTTGCACCCATTACCTGCTTTCTTTACCCTGAATCCCGGCGTACATTTCTGGTGGGACACGCACCGCGCACACGTATTCTCTAAAGGGGTTTTACAGTAGAAACCAGGTCGACAATGGCAAATTGCGTTGGAACTAGCGGAACAAGGTTGTACCTCTATAAGATCAGGATCTGGAAGACACATAAACATTGTTACCAGAACAGACATAAAGTAAAGGAGATATGAAACTCCTAAACACTCTATAACAGGCGGCCTACACTGGTTGCCATGGTAACCAAACAGTGTTTTGAGGTATAAAAGTGTCAACCTCCAGTCTTAGCTGTTTTGAGGTGAACCCATAACTTCCTAGGTAGAGGGTTACAGGGTTATTGATTTAAGGGACTTTTTGGAAATTCAAAGAGCATTTTAAATTTTAAGGCCAAAATTGTTGAATCGAAAATATTCTCAAAGTTAGATTTTTTTATTTTCGGTTTGGCTATTTTGGTTTAAAATTTGAAATTCAATTTGAATTCCCCAAAATCTACATTTTACAGGAATATTAAAAGAATAATACTTTGAGTGTGACCATGACCTTCTAGAAATAGTGCTTTCCAATGTTTCAGGAGCTGTAGCCTCTGCCTCATATTTATATCTCTACTAAATGGATTCTACACTGAAAGAGAAATGTTTAGAACATCAATAGCTAACTTTTTCCTCCCTGGTGGATTGTTCAAATGCAGTTTGATAAAATTTGCAGGAAAATAATATAATCTAAGCTGGGTGCAGTCGACCTCAAGTCTCGATCGTTAGAATGAATTACCTTGCTTGCAATTGGCGCAGTAGCAACATCTAGCTGGACGATCTTCCCAGTTGATGTAATATCCCTTAGGGCATGGCTGCTTGCAATCCTTACTTGGGTCTTTTATGCACAAATGACGTTTCTCAAATCCTAAATAAAAAGAAAAGAACATGTGAGATGCGGGTTCAGTCTTTTTCTTTCCTGTCTGCCAAATTGTCAGGTCTGGTATTGGGATAATTAGCGTCATGGACAACGCGCATTGACCCAGAGCACAGGCCAACATTTTCAGGTCTGATATTGGGAAATTAGCGTCATGGACAATGCGCATTGACCCAGAGCACATGCCAACATTGTCAGGTCTGATATTGGGAAATTAGCGTCATGGACAACGCGCATTGACCCAGAGCACATGCCAATATTGTTAGGTCTGATATTGGGAAATTAGCATCATGGACAACGCACATTGACCTAGAGCACATGCCAACATTGTCAGGTCTGATATTGGGATAATTAGCATCATGGACAACGCGCATTGACCCAGAGCACATGCCAACATTGTCAGGTCTGATATTGGGAAATTAGCGTCATGGACAACGCGCATTGACCCAGAGCACATGCCAACATTGTCAGGTCTGATATTGGGATAATTAGCATCATGGACAATGCGCATTGACCCAGAGCACATGCCAACATTGTCAGGTCTGATATTGGGATCATTAGCGTCATGGACAACGTGCATTGACCCAGAGCACATGCCAACATTGTCAGGTCTGATATTGGGAAATTAGCATCATGGACAACGCGCATTGACCCAGAGCACAGGCCAACATTGTCAGGTGTGATATTGGGAAATTAGCATCATGGACAACGCACATTGACCCAGAGCACAGGCCAACATTGTCAGGTCTGATATTGGGAAATTAGCATCATGGACAACGCGCATTGACCCAGAGCACAGGCCAACATTGTCAGGTCTGATATTGGGAAATTAGCATCATGGACAACGCACATTGACCCAGAGCACAGGCCAACATTGTCAGGTCTGATATTGGGAAATTAGCATCATGGACAACGCACATTGACCCAGAGCACAGGCCAACATTGTCAGGTCTGATATTGGGATAATTAGCGTCATGGACAACGCGCATTGACCCAGAGCACATGCCAACATTGTCAGGTCTAATACTGGGAAATTAGCGTCATGGACAACGCAAATTGACCCAGAGCACATGCCAACATTGTCAGGTCTGATATTGGGAAATTAGCATCATGGACAACGCGCATTGACCCAGAGCACATGCCAACATTGTCAGGTCTGATATTGGGAAATTAGCATCATGGACAACGCGCATTGACCCAGAGCACAGGCCAACATTGTCAGGTCTGATATTGGGATCATTAGCGTCATGGACAACGCGCATTGACCCAGAGCACATGCCAACATTGTCAGGTCTGATACTAGCATAATTAGAGTCATGGACAACGCACATTGACCCAGAGCCCATGCACGCCAGAATGACAGCAAGCTGGCGTGTTTGTATAATGTTGTAAGTGCTCTGGATTTTTTTTGTGGAGCCTAAAGTAGCCAAACTAGAACAATTCTGTAATCAACCCATGATTTCAGTTCGGCTACTCTGGCTTTAAATTTTAAATTCACTCTGAATTCTCGCTTTAGTAAATAATCCTGTCTGATAGTCTCAACAATCCACTGAGAATCTTAAAATTCACACAGGATTTGCTATTTCCTACAAAACAAACAAGGGAGCTGAGATTTGGGGAGGAGAATGAGGAAACATCACCCATCCTACAGCACCCCTTCCAGTAAGATATGAGATTGTCCAATCCCAAACACTGAGAGAGACTCCTGGGACCAATCCCAAACACTGAGAGACACCCCTGGGACCACTCCCAAAGACAGAGAGAGAGACTCCTGGGACCAATCCCAAACACTGAGAGAGACACGCCTGGGACCAATCCCAAACACTGTGAGAGAGACTCCTGGGAGCAATCCCAAACACTGTGAGAGAGACTCCTGGGAGCAATCCCAAACACTGAGAGAGAGACTCCTGGGAGCAATCCCAAACACTGAGAGAGAGACTCCTGGGAGCAATCCCAAACACTGAGAGAGACACTCCTGGGACCATTCCCAAACACTGTGAGAGAGACACCCCTGGGACCAATCCCAAACACTGAGAGAGAGGGACCAATCCCAAACACTGAGAGAGAGACTCAATCCCAAACACTGAGAGAGAGACTCCTGGGACCAATCCCAAACACTGAGAGAGAGACTCCTGGGACCAATCCCAAACACTGAGAGAGAGACTCCTGGGACCAATCCCAAACACTGAGAGAGAGACACCTGGGACCAATCCCAAACACTGTGAGAGAGACTCCTGGGACCAATCCCAAACACTGTGAGAGAGACTCCTGGGACCAATCCCAAACACTGAGAGAGAGACTCCTGGGAGCAATCCCAAACACTGAGAGAGAGACTCCTGGGAGAAATCCCAAACACTGAGAGAGAGACTCCTGGGACCAATCCCAAACACTGAGAGAGACTCTTGGGACCAATCCCAAACACTGAGAGAGAGACTCCTGGGACCAATCCCAAACACTGAGAGAGAGACTCCTGGGACCAATCCCAAACATTGAGAGACACCCCTGGGAAACATCACCCATCCTACAGCACCCCTTCCAGTAAGATATGAGATTGTCCAATCCCAAACACTGAGAGAGACTCCTGGGACCAATCCCAAACACTGAGAGACACCCCTGGGACCACTCCCAAAGACAGAGAGAGAGACTCCTGGGACCAATCCCAAACACTGAGAGAGACTGGGACCAATCCCAAACACAGAGAGAGAGACTCCTGGGACCAATCCCAAACACTGAGAGAGAGACTCCTGGGACCAATCCCAAACACTGAGAGAGAGACTCCTGGGAACAATCCCAAACACTGAGAGAGAGACTCCTGGGACCAATCCCAAACACTGTGAGAGAGACTCCTGGGACCAATCCCAAACACTGTGAGAGAGACTCCTGGGACCAATCCCAAACACTGAAAGAGAGACTCCTGGGAGCAATCCCAAACACTGAGAGAGAGACTCCTGGGAGAAATCCCAAACACTGAGAGAGAGACTCCTGGGACCAATCCCAAACACTGAGAGAGACTCTTGGGACCAATCCCAAACACTGAGAGAGAGACTCCTGGGACCAATCCCAAACACTGAGAGAGAGACTCCTGGGACCAATCCCAAACATTGAGAGACACCCCTGGGAAACATCACCCATCCTACAGCACCCCTTCCAGTAAGATATGAGATTGTCCAATCCCAAACACTGAGAGAGACTCCTGGGACCAATCCCAAACACTGAGAGACACCCCTGGGACCACTCCCAAAGACAGAGAGAGAGACTCCTGGGACCAATCCCAAACACTGAGAGAGACACGCCTGGGACCAATCCCAAACACTGTGAGAGAGACTCCTGGGAGCAATCCCAAACACTGAGAGAGAGACTCCTGGGAGCAATCCCAAACACTGAGAGAGAGACTCCTGGGAGCAATCCCAAACACTGAGAGAGACACTCCTGGGACCAATCCCAAACACTGAGAGAGAGACTCCTGGGACCATTCCCAAACACTGTGAGAGAGACACCCCTGGGACCAATCCCAAACACTGAGAGAGAGACTCCTGGGACCAATCCCAAACACTGAGAGAGAGACTCCTGGGACCAATCCCAAACACTGAGAGAGAGACTCCTGGGACCAATCCCAAACACTGTGAGAGAGACTCCTGGGACCAATCCCAAACACTGTGAGAGAGACTCCTGGGAGCAATCCCAAACACTGAGAGAGAGACTCCTGGGAGCAATCCCAAACACTGAGAGAGAGACTCCTGGGAGAAATCCCAAACACTGAGAGAGAGACTCCTGGGACCAATCCCAAACACTGAGAGAGACTCTTGGGACCAATCCCAAACACTGAGAGAGAGACTCCTGGGACCAATCCCAAACACTGAGAGAGAGACTCCTGGGACCAATCCCAAACACTGAGAGAGAGACTCCTGGGACCAATCCCAAACACTGAGAGAGAGACTCCTGGGACCAATCCCAAACACTGAGAGAGAGACACCTGGGACCAATCCCAAACACTGTGAGAGAGACTCCTGGGACCAATCCCAAACACTGTGAGAGAGACTCCTGGGACCAATCCCAAACACTGAGAGAGAGACTCCTGGGAGCAATCCCAAACACTGAGAGAGAGACTCCTGGGAGAAATCCCAAACACTGAGAGAGAGACTCCTGGGACCAATCCCAAACACTGAGAGAGACTCTTGGGACCAATCCCAAACACTGAGAGAGAGACTCCTGGGACCAATCCCAAACACTGAGAGAGAGACTCCTGGGACCAATCCCAAACACAGAGAGAGAGACTCCTGGGAGCAATCCCAAACACTGAGAGGGACTGCTGGGACCGGTTCATACATTATTAATGCAATATATTGGTAAAAAACCCACGTGATCACATCCTGTATAGATATATTATTGGTGGGAGTATACGGTAAATTTACTGACCTGTCTGGCAGACTGCGCAACATTCCTCTAGCTTTTCATTGTAATATTCCGCACTGGAACAGGTCACACGTCCATCTGTCACCTTAGATAAAAAAACAAAAAAGTAATTTAAAAAATACAGTAATGCTTAAAGTACGAATATAAATTGCTATGCTGTTTGTCCTGTAGAGCTACAATGTTTTTGGAAGACACCATATATATATATATATATATATATATATATATAAAATTATATTAGAAGCCAGTCTGATGTTGATCTAAATTCTAATTAAGGCCAAGGAGCACATCTGATCATGTTACCATCTGATCCCTAAAATCATTTAATTTAGTTTGCTTCTCACATGTGCCGTTTGATTGGCTACTGACATTCTGAGGGCTTTAATCTCGTGTTTGTACTCGGAACCAATGACAGCTCTTTAAAAAGCAATTACTGCAAAATGTACTAGAGATGCTTACATAAAAGTTATTGATATATTATTGATATTACTTTGATTGGATTAATGAAAATACAATATTAGCGAAAGTACCACTTCTTCTGAAAGGCTATTCCATGCACCTACAATTGCAATTTTTTGTTCGATATTATCCATACATTTTTCAGACGTGTATATTTGTATGTAAACGAGTAAACATGCTATGCCGTTCAAACCTAACTCTTAAGTGAATATTACTCTCTGAAAGAGGCACCCAGGGCACAGTACTCTGTGGTTCCTGAACACGTTATGGGATATACTGTATAAGGAACAAGATTTGTGTCCTCTGTGCTGTGTTGAAGCAGCACTGTCATGGCCGAATCCATTTTTTATTTTTATTTTTAAAAAACCCCCTCCCAACTCCACTACATCTACTTGTCCCCATAGTCACCCCAAATGCCCCCAAGCCCCCATATTATCTATTATTTAATCTTCATTTTGTGCCCGGACCTAGGTCCTGGGTGCCCCGTCTTTGTGTGGGTAGATGAAGTCCTTGTGGGACACGTCATATGCCCACACTAGTTATACACTTGATCATTCGCTTTGGGAATTTCGTCTATTCATTCATTCGTCAGAAAGATGAAGGAATGAATAGAAATTTCAGACGAACAAACAAACACTGAATATCGGTTTTCGTTTGTTCGTTCGTTTATTACAAGGAGGGAGCTACTGGCGCGCAGCTCCCTCTTTATAAAATGTAAACGAGCTATGCAAATAAATGGGGGACATAGGGTCCCCCTTGGCCCCCACGCATTAGCGGCGGGTGGGGGCCCTAAATGAAAATGGGGGAACACCTATTGTCCTCCCCCCCTGCCCCCACCCATGGGTGATGAGTGGAGGCCCTAAATGAAAATGGGGGGGACCTATTGTCCTCCCCCCTGGCCCCCACTCATGAGTGGCAAGTGGGGCCACTGACTGCTCATTGTTTAGTAGACATGTCTCTACTCGCGATATAGCGAGTAGGGGCAGGGCCGGTGAAAGGATTTTTGCCACACTAGGCAAAGAAAAAATCGGATCGGAGTTTCATTCTAGATCAGATAGGAAGAAACAGAGAACAGATCCTGAGAGAGGAGAAAGCGATTAAAGAAATGTAAGTTTGGCATGACAGTGCCGCTTTAAGACTACATGTATGTGGTGGAGAATACATGCAATTTAAAATGTATGAATATTGCTACATTTTGGAAACAAATCCTGAACCGTTTCCTTGCCAAATTCATGGAACTGTTTGTCTGTGACCTTTGCATCAAAATTGCATGAAATTTGGTCACTGCGGGAACATAGCAACTTTCCTATGCATTTCAAGTCGAGGTTGCTAGGGCCTTTAAACATGGGCATACTTGATGGGCACAGTGTTTATTAATCTACCATGGCACACTTTCTGGGCACAGTGTTTATTAATGTACCATGGCCCACTTGCTGGGCACAGTGTTTATTAATGTACCATGGCACACTTGCTGGGCACAGTGTATATTAATGTACCATGGCACACTTGCTGGGCACAGTGTATATTAATGTACCATGGCACACTTGCTGGGCACAGTGTATATTAATGTACCATGGCACACTTGCTGGGCACAGTGTTTATTAATGTACCATGGCACACTTGCTGGGCACAGTGTATATTAATGTACCATGGCACACTTGCTGGGCACAGTGAATCCTTCGTGGGGAAAAAAAGCCATGGCAATTTTTTTAGGCATGTTGTGATATGAGATTACTTATTACAAATACCCCAGATCATGCGATATGTGCATGCTAACATGCTGGGCTGCTAGTTTGGCTTCAAATTCACAGCCAGTTGCCAGTCCTAACAGAAACCACAGATTTGCAGCACACAAGGGCAGTTGTGATGTATTGTTTTTTGTATTATTTATTTTTAACATTTTAGCGCCATGATACATTTAAGAAGAGGGTTCTACTTCAACTTGACATCTTCCTTAAAGTTCATACTGGTACACCGTCCCTGCTTTGTACACTCCTCAGTGAGACACGTGTTCAGCCACTATAGCCACGTACCTTTCTCTTAACGTTTCTAGGAAGAGAATGAATGAAGTCATTAAGGACACTTTTTTTCTGTGGTTTATCGCACTTGAGTTATTTTTGTCCTTTGCAAAGTTAAAAAACACAGAAACCAACATCGAGAGGATAATATCTGCTAGCAGAGTGGCTTCCGTTTAAGTTTTAGGGCACTCATGTCTGAATTGGAACAAAACAGGGAAATGAGTAAGATATTCACTAGTGAATAGAGTGAATTTAAAAGTTTCGACTAAAATTAGCAAAAACTGAAACCATTCATAATATGGAGCTTTTTCCAATTAAGCTATTTTGGCCCTGAATTTAAAATCCAACTGTTACCTTAGTGAATTATCCTATAAATCGGGGACTGTGAGTGTGTCGTGAGGTTGAGAACGATTGATCTAATAACTTGTTATTCCTTTCATGATCTGTGTGCGTACTAAGCTCAGTTTGTGTGGCGCCGGCAGCATGCATCATCCTAGCTGCATGATTTAATGCAGAATTAATTTCATGACCGCAAACTAACGGTCACAGCCAGAGATGACTTGGGTCTCGGATTGTGAACTGGTTACAGTAACAGTGGGGTCGGCGTTACTCAGATTGAAAGTTAAACCAATCATTGTGATCCGAGTCACGTTGTTAGAACTTGTTACCAATAGTTTGCAAATCAGGGGATCATTCACTAAACAGTAAAGCCATGAAAGGGAGGGGAGTTTACTAATCTTATGGCAGACCATGGCACTTCAGGAATCATAGCCACTACTGCATGCTGCAGTGGTTATGGTGTTTGGAGTGTTCCTTTAACATATAAAGTCAAAGGAGTGAAACACACAAGTAAATTTACATAGGAGCTCTGTGGAGGGGGTTCCGCAGCCCACCAGGAGCAACAAGAAGTAGAGTTCCACAGGCGTCACAATGTAAGGTGAAGGCAATTTTTTTTTTTTTTATTGGAGATCAAAAAAGATACAAAATTTTGGCCTAGAGGCCTGATATACATGACCAAGGCCTCTGGGCCGAAACGTTGTATCTTTTTTTGTCCTTTTTGATTTCCAATAAATAATTATTTTTCTTCACCTTACATTGTGACACCTGTGGAACTCTACTACTTTAACATATTAATGAATTAATTCTTAAGAGATTTAATCACTAGACTAGTGGCTCATGACCCTGCGTTTTGTCCCAGAATTTGGTTTATTTAATTCTATTCAATGCTATTTTAGTGGCTCTGTGGCCCTAGGCTACAGCCCACAATAAATTATTTGCTGCACCTGAATTTGGAATCCACTGGAAATAGAATATTGAATAGTTTCATGGGATTTCTTGTTACACATTAGAGGTAGAGAATAGGAAGGATATGAGCTAGTTTACCATCCGACGTTACAGCCATGTATGCCATTTATGTAGTCCTGCGCTAGACAATGGGTGTTGATGAGTACTTTACTGACCTACAAAATATCTGCTGAAATAGCAGATATCTAAAGAAGAAATTTAATAACACCGTAGAACGAGATTTTTTTCTCGCCAACTCACTGTTTATAAATAATATATTATTGCAAACGTCTTTGACTTTAAAAGATTGCACCCCCTCTCATTTTATCACAGGTCTTTGAAGGGGGGTTAAAGAACCCAGTAAAATAATACATAGAATGCACGTTTCAACATTGTTTTCGATGTATTCTGTTTAAGAAATAGCAAAATCTATACTTCAATCACAAAAAGAAAATACTGCGAAATGTCTCTTATCTCGGGTTAGCTCATGTCAGTAAGAGTTTCGAATTAAATCATCATAATTTCCCTCCAGGCTCGTCATTCAGGGCTGGTTGTAAAAAACCTTAAACCACAAAAACCATCTCACGGCCTGTGAAAAGTCTTTGATCGTATTGAGAGCAGAAAGACTGATAAAAACAGCAGATCAGGCTAAATCCATATGTTTACCTCATTCAGTGTGATCTGATGTAGCCCAGCGTTACGGAAACGTAAAATATAGTTCATAGTTTCCACACAACGTATTGGGCCCCGCAGAACATACTTTGCTCCGGCTGCACCAATAGAGGGCCTTATTCATTAAAAGGAAATTGTAGTAAATTGAAAACTGACTTGATACATTGAGGCCAATATAGCAGGTTTGGAAACATTGTCCAACTCAGCAAAAGTCACAGATAGACTATTTTAGCCTGCATTTTTAAAATCAGTTTTCAGTTCACTGTAATTCTTAGTTTAGTGATTACTGAATTCTATAAGAAGTGATAAACATAAAGGGGAGGACACAGACACACAGCCTCCTGCCCAGCCCCCAACATACAGGCCAGCGAGTCTAATGAAGCGCCCACACAGTGCTGCCCAGGAACAGTTCTCTGGTTTCCTCAAATGTGGAAACACTAGGGAACTAAATTGGGAAGGTGGGACAAGACCCTGAAATCAGGACTGTTCTGCCAAAAAGCAGGACAATTGGGAGCTGTGGAGTAGTACAGTAGCAATAGGTAAAAACAACTTACCTCAGCTGTACTACTTCCCTGTCCAGGGTGACTTTGCCACCACATGATGCTTTGGGCGAACGTGGGCATCTACTGAGAAATGCGATACAAGAACATGCTTTGCCCAGGCATTCCTTCCCATGCACCGTGCATGCTGCACTACAGGAGTTACAATAAATTGCACAATATGCTTTGATTGATGCTAAGTTTTTTTTGTTTTTTTTTAAAATGTCAACATTTTTGGAAAATAAATTGTACAACTCTTATTTGCTATATTTTATTTAGTTGTCGGACATCGCATCATTCTCCATGTGATAGTTCTGCTTTAACTGGTTACTGAATAGCAGTCCTCCTGTTGACAGACCTGCATTCTTATTATTTTATATAGCATATAGCTATCGCTAAGGTTGCAAAAAAATGTAAAAATGAAAAGGCAAATAAAAAGTATATTATCACACTTGAAACCACTGCATTTTCAGGTGCTCGCAGTGAGTTCTCCATGGAGATTAAGAAGTTACATAATCTTCTCAGCCAATCCTAGCCCTCTTATGGTTTTCAAATTCCGACCATTGACCCCTTTACATGGAGTGTCAGCCTCTGTGAGAGGGACACACCGAGTGTGTACTCAGCAAAATTTTCAATATATCCTTACCACCTCTGCTTGGAACCCAGTCCACGTACCCAATGACACCTTGTATAGTAAACAATGTGTGCGTTTTACAGCCCTGATCAACTATTTGTCAAGCTTAAGATAAATTGCTAAAAGTTTCTAAATGACAAATCAATTATGCAGACTCTCAGCAGCTCTGAAAACCCCACGCTCAAAGATCAAACAATGGAAAGTTCAATATTTTATCTCATGCAAGATTGACTAATAATAATAATCCCCCCATATCTAATTAAAGCCAAACGCAGCACCACGGAAAGAATTATAAATGCCTCTTAATAACAATAAAGAGATAAATCCGGTTTTAGGGGATAGAGTCTATCAGAAGTAAAAAAATTTAACTCTGTAACTAAATAGAGATTCTCTCATTGACATCTCTCTGATCTTTGAGTACAAAAGATGTACTTTTCTAATAAAATGTTCTAAAACTGGAGCAGTTACCGTGGAAACCAATGGAATGTTCCAGCGTATTGCTCCCCTTTTAGAATCATGCCCCAGAATAGCTCTTTAAGAATAACACCTATAGAGTCCCTGGTTGGTGACGGAAAGCCTGAGTGAGATAATATGCAAAGCAGCAACAGCTATCAGTGTGCCTGATCTGTAATACAGTGCCCTAAAAACTCTCATTGACTAGCTAACCCTTTAAATCCCAACAGCACACAGGTCAGTCACTTAAGGCTGATTAATATTAGTATTATTGGTATCGCCAACTTATTCCGCAGCTCATTACAATATTTAAAACGGGGAAATGTAACAATAAATGAGACAATTACAAAATGTTACAGGAACAATAGGTTGAGGAGGACCCTGCTCTAAAGAGCTTACAATCGATACTGTTATTGTCGTAAGCATCGTGATATCTTTCAGCTGTATTTGATATAATCAGATTATAGGAAGGGGACAGATTATGATTCATACGAAACGTGCAAATGTTACAGCTGTGGTCTGAACATACTCTTTGAAATTAGAACAAATTAGAACAAATAGACTGTGACTGTATCTAAGAAATGATTACTTGTCTGAAATGATAGCAGGTATATGGAGTTATCTCCCAGCAGATGTGGTAGAGGATTATACAGTATGGATATTGAAATGGTCATTGGATGGATATACAGCTATTCTGCACTGAAAGGGTGGTGGGTATGTGGAAGTGGTAAAGATTACTATATTATTAGTATAATACATTAAACTGGATTAACATATCTAGAGATATTTTTAAATGAAAGCGTGTTGGCTACATGGAGTCACAGTCATTTCAGAGTACACGTGTAAGAGTTTAATATAATAATTATTTACTACAAGCATGGACAATTTATCAGACTATTAAAACCCACTTACTTGGAACACCAGAGATGATATTATCACCAACAGAGACACCTCCATTTCAGTAAAGTTAAAAAATAAATTGTTTCAGGAATTCATTCACTAGGAGAACACCAATTACCAAATGGACAGCACAGAAACAACCAATTGTCCAGATCTCAAACCACGAAACAGGCAGACCACAAACCACCAACCGTCCAGATCTCAAACCACCAACCAGAACTTTTTGGGGTGTCTTTGAAGATTGTCCAATGAAAGGCGGTCGTCTAATTCAAGGAGAAAGTTTATTTTATTTCTGTATGAGCTCTCGTGGGAAAATTACGACTCCTATTACCGACTCTGATCAAATAAAAAGGAAAGAAAAAATGTGAAGAATTTTTATTTAATTCCAGCCGAGAACAGCCACTTTTTGTCGTAATGAAAGCTTCAGGTTAGTGACCCTCTCCGAAGGATAGATCTGACTTGAAAAATCAGTCAAGAGTCCATCCAAGAATCCAGAATATCCCTGGTGGTATCTGACAGTCTTCAAGCAAGCGTGTCACGTCCACCAACAGATTGTCCTCTCCGAGTCTTCTCCTGACTGGTGGTCTGCTCAGACTTACTTCTTCATTGAGCTGTGGAGTCCTCACATCTGAGTTTAGATTTTAATCTGCAGCACACTCAGCTCTGCAGACTCAAGTGGGCTGCCTGTCACTCTGATTCACATTGTGGAGCTTGACTCATTCAGAAACTCGTTTAAAGATGGTCTTATCAAAATTTAGTCTGACAGTAAATACATCTGCTGCTTTTCATTTCACGAACTAGTGGTTTAAAGTTTTAATGCAGAGTAATTTCACATTTTGGTTTGATTCAGAATTAGACAGATTAATCTGCACACTCATTGCACTCTATTAATTAGTCAGTCAGTTATTGGGCATTCCCATTTCCCATAGGCCGTGCATGGTTTTGCGTTAACTTACCAACATTAATTGTCTTTATAATAACGCAACTCATGTTTACAGATAATTGCCAGTACTAGCTTTCTGGAAATAATCACAACAAAAAAAAATAACAAAAAATATAATAAAGTCCGATAATATGCCTCGCTTAAAACGACAAATCCGGCGTGAGTTTGTTTAATATATGCCAAAATAACATTTTAAATGATTATCATTATTAGTAAAGATAAAACTTCCAAAAATCATGTTTCCACAACTATCCCAGAATTTCGACCTTCACATACAAACGTGAACAGACAGGTTTGGGTTTCACTCTGTTTACTGCGATTCTGTGGGCATCCCCTTAGCAATGGAACAACATTTTAAACGCACATTTTTTTAAACCAAAGATTGGGTTTTGATCCAAAAGGAACAGTGACCAGTCGAAGTCAGGATTTAGACTTGATTTAGGATTCAGGAAATCGCCACAAATTCTGTATATTGCATAACATTGTCAAATCATTCTTCAACTGGAAACCCTCCGAGATCCATTCTAGAAGTGTAATATCTTTAATATTAATATCTGAGAAGCATTGGATTGGACCACGGAGAGTGAGTCTGTAATGTTGGAGGGGAACCTTCCTGTCACGGGTTCTCTAGTCTATTGTCGTTATTCCTTCAACCCTCCACTAGAACTAGTTCGAGATGTACTGCATATGGTGATGGTGCTATTGCTGTGCAGAGGTTTCACAATATAATGGACGCAACAGTTGTATTGGGTAGAGATTCAATCTGAGCTTTATTAGGTCACACTCTGTTTTTTGTACAGTGCCCCTAGCATGGGGTTTCCTTCCCACAAACCATTGTGTTTGAGAGATAATTGAGCTCCAATTAAGATAACTCAATTATCTCTCAAATAAGAAAACTTACATACAATTTTAACATAAAATGAAAATACATGAAAACAGTACAGGAACCCCACAAAAATCATATTCCTGAATAGCCATGATCTGAGCACACAACATATCCAAAGAGCGTTCAGATGAGGTGGTAGCCAAAAACAGTTCCAGAGATTGGTCAGGCTGGCCGGTTGACTTTCAGGGGTTGCTGTGGTTATACCGCCGAACGCTTCCCCTGGCTTTTAAGAAATTAATTCTTCCCTTGTTTTGGTAGTTCCCTACTCCCGATTGCTTTTCTCCTAGCTGGTCAGGAAGTCGAACAGGCAGTGGTACAAGTTTCCGCAGGGTTTACAAGCTTGTGTAGACACCTCAGAGATCCATACATGTCAAACTTGCAGCATGTGCCACTACCCTTCTGTCCTGCTCGCAGTGCCAGCCACTCCCCCTTCCCTCCTGCTCGAAGTGCCAGCCACTCCCCTTCACTCCTGCTCGTAGTGCCAGCCACTCCCCCATCCGTCCTGCTCACAGTGCCAGCCACTCCCCCATCCGTCCTGCTCGCAGTGCCAGCCACTCCCCCTTCCGTCCTGCTCGCAGTGCCAGCCACTCCCCCTTCCCTCATGCTCACAGTGCCAGCCACTCCCCCTTCCATCCTGCTCGCAGTGCCAGCCACTCATCCTTCCATACTGCTCGCTGTGCCAGCCACTCACCCCTCTGTCCTGCTCGCTGTGCCAGTTACTCCCCCTTCTGTCCTGCATGCAGTGCCAGAGGAGCGTCTGGCCTGCTTGAGCAGAGAAGAGCATGGCTGGAACTGGAGGACGGGTGGCTCATCTTAAGGTAGGGTAAGAGGGGCTTGGGGGACATTTCTGTTTAGTGTGCTAAATTGGGAAAAGGGGGGCATTGAATTCATTTGAAGGAGGGAGGGGGTAGTGTATTAAATTTAGAGAGGGAGTTAGCAGTGTATTAATTTTAGTGAGGGGGTACTATATTAATTTGGGGAAGGTAGGGGGCCAATGTATTAAATTGGGGAGGGTGGCAGTGTATTAAAGTGGTGGGAGAGGGAGGGGGGAAGTGTATTAGAGTGGTGGGAGAGGTGGCTGTGTCTTAAATTGGGGGGAGGGCAATGTATTTATTTTGGGGAGGGAGGGGCAGTGTATTGGTGTGGTGGGAGGGTAGTGTGTTAGGGTGGGGGGAGGCAGTGTATTAGAATTGAGGGAAAGAGGCATTGTATTAAAATTGAGAGCTGGGGAGAAGGGCAGTGTATTCAAAATACAAAAAGCAGTTTTGTATTTTTGATTCAAGTTACCCCACCGGCGAGTCTGTTCACACCTAATACAGCAAATCTTTTTGGGGGCAGTGTATTCAATTAGAGTGGAGGAGTGGGGACGGTGTATTAGATTAGGGGGAGAGGGAGGGAGGCAGTGTATTGGATTTGTGGGCAGTATATTAGATTGGGGGGAGGGGCAGTGTAGAAAAATAGAAACGTGACGGCAGATAAGAACCATTCGGCCCATCTAGTCTGCCCAATTTTCTAAATACTTTCATTAGTCCCTAGTCTTATCTTATAGTTAGGATAGCCTTATGCCTATCCCACGCATGCTTAAACTCCTTCACTGTGTTAACCTTTACCACTTCAGCTGGAAGGCTATTCCATGCATCCACTACCCTCTCAGTAAGTAATACTTCCTGATATTATTTTTAAACCTTTGTCCCTCTAATTTAAGACTATGTCCTCTTGTTGTGGTAGTTTTTCTTCTTTTTAAATATAGTCTCCTCCTTTACTGTGTTGATTCCCTTTATATATTTAAATGTTTCTATCATATCCCCCCTGTCTCGTCTTTCCTCCAAGCTATACATGTTAAGATCCTTTAACCTTTCCTGGTAAGTTTTATCCCGCAATCCGTGAACCAGTTTAGTAGCCCTTCTCTGAACCCTCTCTAAGGTATCAATATCCTTCTGAAGATACGGTCTCCAGTACTGTGTACAATACTCCAAGTGAGGTCTCACCAGTGTTCTGTACAATGGCATGAGCACTTCCCCTCTTTCTACTGCTAATACCTCTCCCTATACAACCAAGCATTCTGCTAGCATTTCCTGCTGCTCTATTACATTGTCTGCCTACCTTTAAGTCATCAGAAATAATCACCCCTAAATCCCATGTATTAGAATTGGTGGAGGGGGCAGTGTGTTAGAATGAGGGGAGGGAGTGGTATGTTAGATTAATGGGCAGTGTATTATATTAGAGAGCCGGGAGAAGGGGCAGTGTATTTAATTAGAGTGGAGGAAGCAGTGTATTAGACTGGGTCTGCATGGAGGCGCTGAACGCTCCCCATGGAGAGGATAATTGGCCGCACAGCTTTTTACCACACATGCACAATAGCCTCCCAATGCTTTCCGATGGGAAAGCATTGGATTGGCTGAGATCATCGTTTGTTACAGCTGTGCAACAGTTTACATTCACCATTTCAGTCCCATTTCCAAACTGTTAAATTCTCTCTTTTGTTTACTTTGAACACCAACGAGCGCAAAGATGTCCAGTGTCAGTTAGGCAACTTTCTTATACTCTACTTTCCTTAATAAACCTAAGATTCTATGAAAACTGAACCTTTCATTTTTTTTGCGGCCCACATCAACGAAAAACTTGCTTACTTGGCCCGTGTTAGCCTTTGAGTTTGACATGCTCGCTCTAAAGTAAAAAATATGTTTTTTAAAAAGGGTTAGAGTTATTCTTGCAAGGCCACAGTTTTAGGGCATTCAGATTTTTTCCCACATATGACAAAAGGAAAGAGCCACATTATTTCCTGTGGAACACAACGACCTTGTTGTCACTTGACAAACACTTGATGTCGGCTGCAATGTTACTTGTTATTCTGGAATCTCAATAAACTCTGACTTTTCCTGCTCAGACTTCCATCTGTCCATCATTGTTTATATGACCTGGAAAAGGTTTTTTTCTTTTAAGAAATCTTCTTCTTTAAGCTGCACACCTAGGCGACAGCTTAAAATATTAATTTGGAAGAGATTATACTTTCAACTAAAACATGCACCCCAACATTATGAATGGACAAAGGGGGACCCTTTAATTTTAGGGATGTGGCTATTATGGGAAATTTTAGGTGACTTACTAATAATAATTTATCCAACTAAAATTTAATTTATAACTAGAACAATGTATCTTATTTACTACAGTTTAAAGGGATCACTTCATCCCATTGTCATAGTCTGGGTGGTCTCCCTATTTCCTTAACCCTGCAATGTAGAACAACAGCCAGCCATTAGAGGCGCTTCCTGCAGTTTTACGGAGTTTGACTCCATGAAAATACGCTCAACGATCTTGCGATTTGCATGATGTCCAGTGCGTTGTAAAAACCCCATGAAAAAACCTCATGAAAAAGATATAATCTGATGCAATTTAAATTTGTATCCAAATTATCGTGGAATAGGCAAAAATTATCTCCAAGCTTGGACCGACTAGCACGAAAAAAAGAAGTCTGAAAACTATTCCCAAAACAATAATGAGGCCAGCTGATTGTGAAAGGTGCCAGGACAGACCTCAGTATATGGCAGGAGAGGGCATGTGGCCCCCCCACTGGCATATTCTTTGTGAATAGACCTGTATGCTATCATAGGCAAATGTTTTTTAAAAATTATAAATAAACATAACTAACATTAACGCTTCACACATTGAAAATAGATTAGGAGAAAACCTTATTTTTCTAACAATCTCCCATTGCCCAGTCCAAGTTTGGAGAAACAGTAAGGCAGGTTGGTAGAGATTATTAAACCTTGCCGTCCCGCTCAGGGTCTGTGGAAGTGAAAGGGCTGATTAAGCCAACATTCCCTTAGTAACCAGAGTTGTATAATTTTAGTATATTTTGCCTTCATCACTGGCAGACCTTGGTTAAAGGACCACTCTAGGCACCCAGACCACTTCAGCTTAATGAAGTGGTCTGGGTGCCAGGTCCAGCTAGGGTTAACCCATTTTTTAATAAACATAGCAGTTTCAGAGAAACTGCTATGTTTATGAATGGGTTAAGCCTTCCCCTATTTCCTCTAGTGGCTGTCTCATCGACAGCCACTAGAGGCGCTTGCGTGCTTCTCACTGTGATTTTCACAGTGAGAGCATGCCAGCGTCCTCAGGGCACTATAGTACCAGGAAAACGAGTATGTTTTCCTGGCACTATAGTGGTCCTTTAAGTGGGAGATTCTGTAATATTGAACAACAATAATCTAATACATTTGCAGTACACTCAGGGGTTATTCTGCCCATAATTCAATTATGTCACTTTTCTACATTTTACTTTAAAATGTGTCTTAACTTTTAAGAAGACTCGAAATACCTTGAATTGATTTGCAAATTCCCTGATAGGCCACAGAAAGAATTAAACCACAATTCAGGAAAATGAAAGTCTGTGATGGTGTGTGGGTTGATATCTGCATAGCGTATGTTACAGTATGTGCAGATCTAGTAAATGATGAAAAGTATTGGTAATACGAATATACCGTTAAATACTGTATTATGAAAACCTGGTACCAATTTAATGTTTGCCTCCAGCAGTGTAATAACACTCTGTATCAATATAATGATCTTCTATTTCCATGTAATATTAACAAACTACACGAGTAATCAACCATCGATGGCACACGTGCCATACATGGAAAGTCAGGTTACTGGACCCAAGTGGGCCAGATGGAGAGATCTCTAGAGCACATTGGAGCAGAAACCTAAGGAAACTCTCCTTTGAGATACAGCACTTCTCTGTGATTTAGAATGTTGCTACAGGTTACCATGTCAATGCTTTTTCTCACTAGAAATGTGCTGTAATGAAGGCAGAGGTATACGTGTTCTGCACCCATGGAAACTGCAAGATCCACACATCAGACTACCTGGGATTAATAAAGTATCATGCACACCTCCAAAAGAAAAGTTAGACAACTAGGAGGGAGGGAGGGAGGGAGGAAGGAAGGGGGGAGCATAAAACACACTTCAAATCATCTGAATTGACAAATAGCTATATGACCGAATAAATGAAATAAATTACATTACTCTGCACCAAAATACCACATGGATGAAGGCCGAATCGCTCAATACTAATTGTTTTTCCGGACAAATCGATATTTACTTACCAATTTTTTGCCACCACGCACAAGTCTAATAGACAGGACAGGCCCTGATCCTATGTTCTAAAGATATTTGATAGAAGTTGTGGAAGCTCTCTATCCGGATAGGTTTTCTCTACATTTTGATTATGAAAGAACAATGCTTGGTGGACAGGGAGCCAAGATGATTGCACAAGATCCAGGATAGCAATATATCCTAACGTGCCGGTGATCACCATGGCGCACTCGATTTCTATCTTGATAAGAAAATGGAATGAGAAAGGATTCACCAGGTTTAATTCTGTGGGAGGAAATTAACAATAATGTTTATAATGAAAAAGATGTCTGTAAAGCAGTGAAATAATAGCTTGTATGAAAATATGGAATACGAGAAAAAGTTCCTACTGATATCAAGAGACACCAATCTTCTCTTGATTCTATTATGTTACTACATCTTGGCATTGGTTTACCTGTATATTCAAAAAATATATCATATATTCTTATGGAAGAATGCCGAGCTCAAAGTTCAAACAAGGCAATGTTTAATTTTAGGTCAGTAAAACAAGTTCACAATAAAATAGACTAAACTATACAATTGTTTCACATAATGTATACAATATTTACAAGCACGCATTGCATGTACATGCCTTGCAATGGTGTATGTTCTCCTTTCCTCTTCTGTCAACCCTCTTTCCTTATCTAACTGTCCTTGTCTGATATTAGGTTTTCCCTATGTCCAGGGGTTTAAAGGAACACTCTAGCACAATAAGTTCTAAACCACCACTAGATGCCCATGGCCACATGTCCAGCTTCTGTGACTCTCCTGTAAGTAAAACCAGTTAGGTCTAACAGTTTAGCAGGACTGAAGAGTATCAGCTAAATTTCCTGTCTCATCTACTTACTCCTTTTGATCCATTTACAGTTGCAAGAAAAAGTATGTGAATCCTTTGGAATGATATGGATTTCTGCACAAATTGGTCATAACATGTGATCTGATCATCATCTAATTCACAACAATAGACAATCACAGTCTGCTTAAACTAATAACACACAAAGAATGAAATGTTGCCATGTTTTTATTGAACACACCATGTAAACATTCACAGTGCAGGTGGAAAAAGTATGTGAACCCCTAGACTAATGACATCTCCAAGAGCTAATTGGAGTGAGATGTCAGCCAACTGAGTCCAATCAATGAGATGAGATTGGAGGTGTTGGTTACAGCTGCCCTGCCCTATAAAAAACACACACCAGTTCTGGGTTTGCTTTTCACAAGAAGCATTGCCTGATGTGAATGATGCCTCGCACAAAAGAGCTCTCAGAAGACCTACGATTAAGAATTGTTGACTTTCATAAAGCTGGAAAGGGTTATAAAAGTATCTCCAAAAGCCTTGCTGTTCATCAGTCCACGGTAAGACAAATTGTCTATAAATGGAGAAAGTTCACTGCTGCTACTCTCCCTAGGAGTGGCCGTCCTGTAAAGATGACTGCAAGAGCACAGCGCAGACTGCTCAATGAGGTGAAGAAGAATCCTAGAGTGTCAGCTAAAGACTTGCAAAAGTCACTGGCAAATGCTAACATCCCTGTTAGCAAATCTACAAATGCTGTAAAACACTAAACAAGAATGGATTGCCGTAAAACACTAAACAAGAATGGATTTCATGGGAGGATACCACAGAGGAAGCCACTGCTGTCCAAACAAAACATTGCTGCACGTTTACAGTTTGCACAAGAGCACCTGGATGTTCCACAGCAGTACTGGCAAAATATTCTGTGGACAGATGAAACCAAAGTTGAGTTGTTTGGAAGAAACACACAACATTATGTGTGGCGAAAAAAAGGCACAGCACACCAACATCAAAACCTCATCCCAACTGTGAAGTATGGTGGTGGGGGCATCATGGTTTGGGGCTGCTTTGCTGCGTCAGGGCCTGGACGGATTGCTATCATCGAAGGAAAAATGAATTCCCAAGTTTATCAAGACATTTTGCAGGAGAACTTAAGGCCATCTGTCTACCAGCTGAAGCTCAACAGAAGATGGGTGTTGCAACAGGACAATGACCCAAAGCATAGAAGTAAATCAACAACAGAATGGCTTAAACAGAAGAAAATACGCCTTCTGAAGTGGCCCAGTCAGAGTCCTGACCTCAACCCGATTGAGATGCTGTGGCATGACCTCAAGAAAGCAATTTACACCAGACATCCCAAGAATATTGCTGAACTGAAACAGTTCTGTAAAGAGGAATGGTCAAGAATTACTCCTGACCGTTGTGCACGTCTGATCTGCAACTACAGGAAACGTTTGGTTGAAGTTATTGCTGCCAAAGGAGGTTCAACCAGTTATTAAATCCAAGGGTTCACATACTTTTTCCACCTGCACTGTGAATGTTTACATGGTGTGTTCAATAAAAACATGGCAACATTTCATTCTTTGTGTGTTATTAGTTTAAGCAGACTGTGATTGTCTATTGTTGTGACTTAGATGATGATCAGATCCCATTTTATGACCAATTTGTGCAGAAATCCATATCATTCCAAAGGGTTCACATACTTTTTCTTGCAACTGTATGTTATGCGTTCAGCCATATCCGTGGTGGGACAAGGTCCTTTAATCTGTCGTCTGTAAGGCATCAAACTAGCATTCCCTCTGAAATATACTCACCTGTAGGACATAGAAAAGGGTGCTCCAATTCCTACATGATTGGCGGAACAATGAGTGTTTATCTCTGATACAACTTTCGGTGAAGGTCACCCTAATGATGTGTCTTGTCTACTTCCACTGGGTCTCCAATATTTGCACTTTGGATGCTGATGGTTTTTCTATCACTCCTTATAGTCACACCAAGGCGGATTCCTCATCGACCTTTTACCCTTTTTTCCGAAACATAACTCAGCTTTGTGTGGCCAAGACTCTCCTTCGGTATGTGGAACCATTCGGTATGTGCACCATTACGACCATCATATCTAGGTCAACGTCTCACTGTGTTAAAAAGCACAAACCTGTCTCCACCATCACCTTAGCGAGATGGGTTAGATGGGTTCTCGCTTTGGCGGGAGTGGAACCCGATTTCATTCAGTTCAAGATGGCATTGCGTGTCTTTGTGTTGGGTGCTTCCTTATCAAACATTATGCGCATGGCGAGCTGGTCATAGGAAGATACCTCCTTTTGACATGCTTCCTTCAGTCTTCTGTGATAGCATTGAAAATGCTAAATATGATACATCCTGTAATGTAATAAAATTGTAGCTTATGCTAATTTAAATGTACAATATTCATAATTCTAATAATGACAGGAGGCAAATATTTCCCTTCCTCAAGGGACTTTCTTTCTTCTAGGACACTAGTTCTTCGTTGTTTTTCCACAAGCTCTTGTGTGTTCTGTCGCTTGGTGTTATTTTATTTGTTCATGTAAGCAATATACTCTTTATTTAGATAGTGTATGCTATTAATACATTATAGTTATTACAGTTTGTTTGATTGTTATTTGCGATGTACGTTACCATTATACCATCCAATTTTAATTTTTAGATGCCTTTCACATAGTTTTTCTTCTGTTTTAGAGTAACTTCACTTGGAGCATCTACGCTCAAATGTTCTGGACTTTCTACTCACATCGGAGTCCACAACTTGTTCTACCCTTACATTGGATCACTTGATTATGACAGATTTTCTTTATACTAGTTTATTGTTATCACCATCAAAGAAAGAGGAGGTGCTTGTTCCAGTCGGAGTTTAAATGACCTCCTGCTTGTCCTTGATTGGTTAATGGTTTAATGGACCATCCGGGAGATTATTAAGCCTTATCACCTCATAACGATTCTAACCGCAGTGCTCTAATTATGCGTCTGGGTGGCCGCCATTTGTATGGCCAAACATGTGGTAGCGGCCAGCTTGCTCCCGCGAACGCAGGCAGCGGTGTTTGGTCGTCAAGTGCATGGAACTGAAATCGGACACTCGAATTCACGAACACTGCTGAACTTCCATCATTGCCTGTGTTCAGTTCAGTACATCGTAAAAGGGCACTGATCGATGGAATTGTTCGTCTGGATGAGGGAAACAAGCTCCACGGTATGACTACTGACTACGTTCGTTTTTTAACAAAGACTGCAGTACATCAGCAATATAAGACTTGTGGACAAGCCGCTGCATCAAACATATAGCGTTACATATATGATTCGTAAAGGAAGGCAAAAATCTTTAACATGTAATACATCAAACATTGGTGACTGGCTTGCTCAGTCTGTCAAACTTTTTCAATGGTATTATATTTAGTATGTTTGTTTTTAAACTAATAAACTTCATGGAACTGTTTTGGGCATAGGACCATGTGCATGGTCGGTCAAATTATGACTTCAATAGAAATCCCGAACCGATCTGGGTGATTTTTGGATATGTTGGTCACCCAGATAGGGGCTATCAGGGGAAGCCCCTTGGACGTAAAAACCCAAGGGCAGAGTACAGAATATTTGATACAATCCTAACCTGAACATATGAGGAAAGGGATTTAGGGGTGATTATTTCTGATGATTTAAAAGGTAGGCAGACAATGTAATAGAGCAGCAGGAAATGCTAGCAGAATGCTTGGTTGTATAGGGAGAGGTATTAGCAGTAGAAAGAGGGAAGTGCTCATGCCATTGTACAGAACACTGGGGAGACCTCACTTGGAGTATTGTACGCAGTACTGGAGACCGTATCTTCAGAAGGATATTGATACTTTAGAGAGCATTCAAAGAAGGGCTACTAAACTGGTTCATGGATTGCAGGATAAAACCTACCAGGAAAGGTTAAAGGATCTTAACATGTATAGCTTGGAGGAAAGACGAGACGGGGGGATATGGTAGCAACATTTAAATACATAAAGGGAATCAACACCGTAAAGGAGACCATATTTAAAATAAGAAAAACTCCCACAACAAGAGGACATAGTCTTAAGTTAGAGGGGCAAAGGTGTAAAAATAATACCAGGAAGTATTACTTTACTGAGAGGGTAGAGGATGCATGGAATAGCCTTCCAGCTGAAGTGGTAGAGGTTAACACAGTAAAGGAGTTTAAGCATGCGTGGGATAGGCATAAGGCTATCCTAACTATAAGATAAGGCCAGGGACTAATGAAAGTATTTAGAAAATTGGGCAGACTAGATGGGCCGAATGGTTCTTATCTGCCGTCACATTCTATGTTACTAGTACCCGGATCCCATAGTTCTCATACTGTGGGATCTGTATTTAAATATTTGACTTATACTATATTTAATATAGTTCTATATATGTGTTATTTTATGTTCCTTTATCACCATTATTGCATTTTTTACTTTACCTGTACTTTTTTTAAATTTTTTTTTAAATTCTTTATTTTTGTAGTGCTTCGAGTAACAAACATGACTATATCGCCACGACAGCAGATACAAGTCGCTGAGATATCACAAAATAAACAAGATCATGGCATTAAATGACAGCACATTTTTAGATTAATCTAGGAATAGTAAATGAACAGTGCATGCGTGATACAGAAACAGTTAACAGTATAGATTGGTTATATGCACTCTATAGGAGTCAAGTATTGTTATCTGCACGTGTGGCTAAGATCTATGTGTAACCAAAGTAGGACCTAGTGGAAGTTTGCATGCTTGAGTGTGAGTGACTAGTTAGGAGCCACCTTTGGTGTTAGCATCTCCTAGAGCTTATTCTACTAGCATTCTATTGGTGGCAGCAGAGTTAAGATGCCGTTCGAGGGGCAGATGTATGTTGCAGAGTATGAAGGTTAGGATGATCTGCTTAGTTTAAAAATAGCTATGCCCGTCACCCAGAGATTCGTTATGCTATATACATTCCACATAGGGGGTTGTTTTGAGTTATGTGTAACGCATTAGGTGTGTCGGGTACTACCATGAGTATTCCGCTAGCTGGGGAGGCTGCTTTCGTCCTTCATAAGTAATGGGGACATCTAGCGGTTAGTAGCGAGACTAGAGCTACAAATTACATGACTAGTGTTTTTAGTGAGTAGGTCTGGGTGTAGGTTGCTATGGATAAATTTTACACCTCACGTCGAGATAGAGTGGGTCTTAGTCTAACGGCCATTGAGGGGAGGCAGGGGTGGGGGGTGAGGGGAATTGTCCTCATGGGATACTCGGTGCTTAATAGATAGGTACCAGCGAGATAGAAAGTAATGTACAAAAGGAAACAAACAGAGAAAAAAAAAATATGAAAAATATATATATATAGTCACAGAAACGGTCACGGCTCGGAACCCCTTTGGTAACAGATATGTGTGAGAGAAGTTCGCCTCAAGTAGTAACCAAAGCGTAGGCTCCCTGTGGGGCTTGCTGCGGGACAAATGGAGTGCTTCTTGCAGGGTCCCACGTGTGTGCCTGTGTGGTTGCCCCTCGAGGCCCAATACTCTGCAGAGCGTCCTTTGGGAGGCCTAGGGTGTCCAGGAGCGCAGATGCCTCCTGTATGTCATGGACCGAGTAGAAGGATTCTCTGTGTTGCACTTGGAGCGTACGGGACATCCGCCACCTGTATTGGATGTTGTTGCTCCGTAGAAGAGTGGTAAACCCCTGCAGGGATCTTCTCCACTGCAGAGTGCTCCCAGAGAGGTCGGTGTAAAAGGTTAAGGACATGTCTTCAAATACATATGGGGACTGTCCCTTGAGTGCTTCTTGTACTGTCGCCTTGTCACTGCTTCTTTGGAATTTCACCACAGTATCTCTGGGCGCCTCTTCTGGGGCCCTCCTGGGTTTCGGGATCCGGAATACTCCATCCACTGCAATTTGCCTGACTTGCTTTGGAGACAGCAATGCTCCCAGCAGCCTTCTTATGAGGTGTTATAACTCTGCTGTCGGTACCTCCTCCGGGATACCTCTTATTTTAAGGTTAGCGCGGCGCCTTGTGTCTTCCACGGTCGCCAGTTTCTGTTCAACCCCAGCTTGTTGCTTTTTCAGCGCTTGTACCTCTTGTTCCAGAGAGCATATTCTCTGATCATGGTCCTTTGTGGAGGCCTCCATAACTCCCAGTCGGCCTACCAGGCCCTTGAGGTCCTGACGCAGTGCGGCCACGTCTGCCTGGAGAGTTGTCTGAAGCCCCGCCAGGAGCTCTTGCAGGGTCTCCTTTGTGACAGGTTGGCAGGGTAGGTTTCGGGTGTGTGAGAGGGTTTCTGTGATGGTATGTCTGCCGCTCCGGTGTATTGCGACATCTCTTCTGAGGAGTCGGAGTATTCATCCAGCTCCGCGGCCATTTTGGGCCCAAGTGCGCCATGCGCCTGCCTGAAGAGCTCGCCTATATTCATTCCCTGTTTGGGTTTGTCTGACTTCTGCTTCTTAGAATTACGACCCATGGTAGCTCTGGTCGTTCTGGAGCGTTGGGCTTCTTGTTTTTTGGGGTTTTATTCCCAGGATTTCGCCTATTAACGCTGTTTAGCCTGGAGCTCTGAGAGTGTGTGTCCGATCGCTTCGGCTGCTTGGCTCCGCCCCTACTTTACCTGTACTTTAAGGGATATTTTAAAGGATCATTATAGGGTCACGAACACAAACATGTATTCCTGACCCTATAGTGAAAACCCACAATTTATTTGGCACCCCCCATAGCCCCCTCAGAATGGGTTAAAACTCACTTAATTTCCAGCTCTCCTCGGGTCTGCCGGCGCTGGCCCCGCCCATTTGGTGACATCAAAATTGCTGATTTTTAGCCAATCCAATGCTTTCCCCATGGGAAGGCATTGGATTGGCTAAAATCGCCAAGGGGGCCAAACACCATTTTGGCCAATCAGCACCTCCTCGTAGAGATGCATTGAATCAATGCATCTCTATGAGGAAAATTCAGCATTCCCATGCAGAGCGTGGAGATGCTGAAAGGCAGAGCTGCCTACTGTGCAGCACTGACCCAGTAAGCACCTCCAGTGGCCCACTAAGGAGTGGCCACTTGGAGGTGTCGCTAGGGGCAATGTAAACACTGCCTTTTCTCTGAACACACAGTGTTTACATGAAAATGCCTGAAGGGAGCTATTATACTCACCAGAACAACAACATTAAGCTGTAGTTGTTCTGGTGACTATAGTGTCCCTTTAATGTTACCCTTTATAGTTTCTTCTGTAATGTACATTTACATTTTGAATACTTTATTGTCCCATATATTTACTATTAGATATCTGTTCCCAGTTTTGTTTTATTCTATACAGTCACATGCGGCTAATGAAATTTTCTACTAAACGCTTGTTCGCATATGGTTTTCTTGCCCTGTGGACCAGTTGGCCGTCTCTTTAGTTCCTATTTCGAATCCCGGCGGCAATATTGTTCAGGGTGTTTGCGCTCCTTTGGCTAGCCCTGCCCACAGACTGTCCCTCACAGGTTGTGGGTGTTCAATAGTGCTGGCGTTCGGACAACTCCTTGTCTCTGCTACCCTGTGAGTTTTGTCAATACCCTTATTAATGTTATTTCTTTTTCTCATCTCCTCGTTATTCCTTGTAGGTTATTCAACCAGGAGGAGTTGGTTTAGGTACTTATCTATATAAATTTTTTTTCTTTTTTATAATTTGTGGCCTGTATAAGTTTCTGCTATTTTATTTACTATGCAGTCTAATAGGGACCTGCCTGCTTCTACTGGATCACAGGCTACCCGTCAAATCCCTGTGGGTTTCTCCCTTTTGGCCTCTGCAAATGAGGCGGATTTTGCTATCTCGGATGAGATGCAATCTATTCTGGACACTACTATGTCCAAATCAATGTCCAAAGCACTAGCCTTTGCCATGGACGTTATGTCTCCGTCTATATCCAAGAAGTTTACACAGGCCTTCTTACAAGCTCAAACGTCGTTCTCCATGACCACTCAGACGGTCGCAATACCCCCTGCCTCTCAGACTTCTCAGCCAGGCCGGAAAGCACTGGCTAAAATAAAACATGCCTCCAAAACTACTAAGATGGTCAGTATAACACCTGTCACAGATGTCGCATGTGTGAATCCACCGCACAAAAGAGCCAATGGCTGGGCAAAAGCGGCCAGGTTATGGAAACAGGCTAAAGCCCAACCTGATTCTTTGATGACCTATCTGACCCCGAGTCAAACTATGCAATAAGGGAAGATAAAATCCGCTCTCATGTTTACCCCGCTGATGGGGCTTCAGGCATTGAAGTGAGTCGCCCTTTGTCAACTGAGGCAGACAAAATTCTAGATCCGCGAGGTGAACCCCCTCTTTGACCCCGATGACTTACGTCACCCAAGATAGGCCGAATGGTTGCCTTCGGAACACGTGGCACGCTATATTGCAAACCTCTAGAAAGAGACACCCGTAATAAAGGCTGAATGCCCACGCCCCGCGGTGCCTGACGAAGTGTGCAAATATCTAAGGTCGATCCAAAGATCATCCAGTTTTTAGGCATTCAGTCTGGAAAGGGTCTGGACTTATCACTCCGTAATTGTTAGGAAAAATTCCTGGATATTTTGGATCCAGCTGCCAAAATTTTGAGGCATTGAAAGATGCTTTGGCCTTTGATCAGCCCCTAGATACACTGATCGTCCATGGGTGGATTCAGTGCTTGATTTGCCTGGTGTGCAATGCCAATACAGCATTAGCCACTGAACGGTGCAAATCTATTCGCTTAAAAATTGAACCAAAATTGGTGAACCTAGCGCTTAATGAACTGGGCGCTCAGCCCAAGGGTTTCTTATTTGAGGATTCCTTCATTAAAGACTTAGGATCCTATGTTAAAACCCTCACTGCCTTAGATAAGGCTCAGACCAACATGAAGAGAGTGTTTCACCCTAAGGTGCTGGAAGAACCAGGAGCAGTCTGTCCGGCCATTATTCCAGAGGTTCTTAGACTGAACCGAGGTTCCTACACAGGACAAACCAAGTTTCCTGACCAAAGATCCATGCCAAAATATTTCGCCAGCGTGACCGGCCATGGGTTGCTCGAGGCATACGAGGTGCTCCTTCAGGATGATTACCTTCTCCAAGATCCCGTTGGTCTGAGCTATCCTCTAGTATGGCTAATTTCAGGGCACCCTGGTCCATCAGCGGAGTTCCGCAATCAACTCTTAGACTTCTCAAGCGTGTATGGGCACTCGGGACGAGACAAGCTTATAGAGCTGCTTAGAGCACATGGACTAGATGGTACCTAAAATGAAATTTGGATTCCATACCGGCTCCTCTGACGACTGTTCTACATTTCCTCACGTCCCTCTTTGATGAGGGTAAATCCTACCATACTGTAAACCTGTTCAGATCAGCTATCTCTGCTGGACAAGGTATTGACGGTGCCTCAGTAGGACGCCATCCATTTGTATGCAGACTTCTTTGTGGAATCCGTTTTGCTCACCCTCCATTACCACATTATTTGGTCCTTTGGGATGTTTCTCTGGTTCTAACCTTTTTCGAGTCTTGGCTAGGAAAAACTTTGTTGTCCCTTAAACAACTTTCGGCCAAACTAGTCAAGCTATTCTGCTAAATCTCTTGTAAGAGAGTCTCGGACTTTCGATCATTAGATTTCAATGCTCGCTCCTTTACTCCTGAGGGTGTGTTTTTTGACATATCCCAATGCACTACGACTTCCTCCAAATCAGTATTATATCTTGCTTTCCCTGAGAGATCTTAACTGTGTCCTATTGCATGCTTCCGCGAATATGAGACACGTACTGCTACTTTGTGTGACCACTCTAAACCTTAACTTTTCTTTTTTTTTTTTCCTCAAACTCATATGCCAGTATCTACACCTACCCTTGCCCGTTAGGTCAAGTGGATCGTTTCTTTGGCAGGTATTGATACTGTGAAAGAATTTACCTTGATTCCAAGGTTCAAGCTTATAGGTCTCACATTAGATATCCTATATTAAAATTGGCTAACTTGGACTCCGCAAATGCTTGATGCTTAAAATGACATTTAAGATCATATATGTCTAGTTCCGGGAGCAGATAGCCCCCACCTGAGCTGTCTCTCCCAGGTCAGTCTGTTCTTTCTCTGAACTTATCTGTTATATGTACATGACGTTCATCCCTATGTCTTATCTGTACTCCTTTCCTGTTATTTCGCTTCCTTCTACTGTTCTATGAGTATTTGCACGTAAGCACTTATATTTTAATGTATAAAAACACAACTGACAAAATAAAGGTCAGAGGCTTATTTTGATAACCAACCTAGTGAGTGGCACCCGGGGCGCACCGCCCCCTCCTTAGTACGCCACTGCGTAAAGTCATGATTTTAATAATGACACGGAGGCGGGTATTATCACACCATGGCAGATACTATTAGGCTTCTAGGTAAGCAATTTGACATAATGTCTACGGCAAGTCATTTATTGATATGTGTGTTAAGCCGTTTATAATGGTCATACATCATGTTTAGCTGAGTGCATTAAATATCGTTATGCATAGTCTGGATACCCTAATAGACGCATAGGCGGAGGAGGGCCTTGACAGTTTGTACTGAGCAAAGCAGTATGGATTAATAGAGAGGGTGCGGGAGTGGGGCGTTCGGAGGATGAAGGATATGTAGGGACTGGGGACCGTTACACGGCAGCCATGTTATGGGTAAATCTGTCAATCTCTCTCCTTTGATCTGTTCGTTTCTGTTTTGTTTTCGTGGTGTATCAGTCTTCTGTGCTGTCCCCCTTGGTCTTTCTTTCTCTTGGTATCTTTGCATTCTCTGTGTGTCTTCTCTGTCCCCTTGTTGTGTGGCTCTTGTCGCCCCTCCCTTTTAGCCTTACCTGTAGTGGCAGCATGGAGCCAGCGGTGGATCTGGTCGTGGAGAGGCTGTTGGGTGAGATTCGCACGGCGATGTGCCTTGGGCCCATAATGGCGAGGCTGGGACCGGTGGGAGGACCAGTGGTGCGCCCGACGAGGAGGATGAGGCCTCCCTACAGACTCAGCCCAGAGGATCCACCGGGCCGCAGGGAGCCTGTTAGGAGAAGGCCGGGCGCAGGATCTGGTATGGCTGCTGGAGGTCGCCGCAGCCAGGCGGATAGCTAGGTCCCCGATGTCCAAGGCCCGCTGCAGGGACGTGCAGCACCGGCCACCTGGGTGGAGGTCGGGAGGAGAGACAGCAGAAGGAATGCAGTCATCCAGCCACCCAGGGCAGTGGCGAGCAGCAGGAGTGCTGGGTTGCAGCCACTGGAAGCAGCGGTGAGCAGCAGGAGTGCTGGGTTCCGGCCACTGGAGGCAGTGGTGAGCAGCAGGAGTGCTGGGTTGCAGCCACTAGAGGCAGCGGTGAGCAGCAGGAGTGCTGGGTTGCAGCCACTGGAGGCAGCGGTGAGCAGCAGGAGTGCTGGGTTGCAGCCCCTAGAGGCAGTGGTGAGCAGCAGGAGTGCTGGGTTCCAGCCACTGGAGGCAGCGGTGAGCAGCAGGAGTACTGGGTTCCGGCCACTGGAAGCAGCGGTGAGCAGCAGGAGTGCTGGGTTGCAGCCACTGGAAGCAGCGGTGAGCAGCAGGAGTGCTGGGTTCCGGCCACTGGAGGCAGTGGTGAGCAGCAGGAGTGCTGGGTTCCGGCCACTGGAGGCAGCGGTGAGCAGCAGGAGTGCTGGGTTGCAGCCACTAGAGGCAGTGGTGAGCAGCAGGAGTGCTGGGTTCCAGCCACTGGAGGCAGCGGTGAGCAGCAGGAGTGCTGGGTTGCAGCCACTAGAGGCAGCGGTGAGCAGCAGGAGTGCTGGGTTCCGGCCACTGGAGGCAGCGGTGAGCAGCAGGAGTGCTGGGTTCCAGCCACTGGAGGCAGCGGTGAGCAGCAGGAGTGCTGGGTTGCAGCCACTGGAAGCAGCGGTGAGCAGCAGGAGTGCTGGGTTCTGGCCACTGGAGGCAGCGGTGAGCAGGCCTGAAGGGAAAGTGCCATTGATCCAGGATCCGGTTCGGGTCCAGCGGCTAGCACCAGAGGCGTGGAGGGCCGTGCTGCCTGGAGTATCTCAGGGCGATCAAGTTCGAGACGTAAATGTCAGGTCTGGAAGTGAGGAAGTGAAGTTCCAGGAGTGGCAGGACCCAGACGCAGCTGTTGAAGGCAGTTCACGAGTTGCTTTGTTTGGAGGGGCAACTGCAACGACTGGCAGTTCTGGCCGGGTGCAGGTGGCACCTTGGTCTAAGAAGATTCAGCACACCCACGGCAAAGCTAGGAGGCAAGTACCAGGGGCGGGGTAGCCCTTGACGTAGTGGTTCCCTCCAGCCCAGAGTCCCAGGGGGGGGAGAGCTACAGTTTAGGGGTTCCTCAGGGAAGGGTGAGCGTAGAGGGATTCAGATGGGGTGCCCGCGTCCAGACAAGGTTTAAGTTTATGTGGGCCGCGAAAAAAACAAACTTCAGTTTTCATAGAAACGTAGGTTTATTTGGGAAAGTACAGTATAAAAATGTCGCCAAACTGACACTGGAAGTCCTCACGCTCGTTGGGCTTCAAAGTAAACAAAAGAGAATTTATTTTAAGGAGACGGCGTTTGCATAAAACCAATGTTTCAGTCCAACTACCTTGACACAGTGGCAGATCCAGAGCCTGATCTCGGGAGGGGCACTTGTAGATTATTTAAAGAAATAATCCAGACACAATAACCACTACAGCTCAGTGTAGTGGTTATAGTGCCGGGACCCCCTCCCAGAGTAAGTAGTCAAACCATTTAAGAACAGTTTGACAACTTACCTGAGGTCTGATGGGAAATGGGGCTGTAGTAGTGCATAGGAGCAGTAGTGTGTGTGAGTGGTGCAATGTGTAAGGGGTGCAGTGTGTGAGCGTGTGTGAGAGCGGCAGTGTATGTCAGGGATGCAGTGTATGTGTGGGACAGTATGTGTGTGCAACAGTTGCAGTGTGTGTGTGTGAGTATTGCAGTGTGTGTGTGAGTGTGAGCAATGTGTGTATATGAAGCGGCAGTGTATGGGGGCAGTGTGTGTATGGGGGCAGTATGGGGGGGAAGTGTGTGTGTATGGGGGCAGTAAGTGTGTATGGGGGGCAGTGTGGGTGGGTGTGATATAAGGGTTTGGGGGCTTTTTTTTTTTTTTAATATATATATATATATATTTTTATTTTTATTTAAATAAATATTCTATGTCCCCCCTCCCTTCTTACCTTTACTGGGGGGAGGGGGGACATTTCTAATCCCTGGTGGTCTGGTGGGGGATTCATTGGTGGTCCCAGTGGGGAGAGCGAACTCTAGCCCACGCTCCCGGGCTAGAGTTCACTCTTGCGAGATTTGGAGCGTTGCCGTGGTAACCGCGGCAACGCTCCAAATCTCTCGAGAGGAGGACCCGGAGGAGCTGCAGGCTGAGCTCCGGGTCCTCCCTCTCCCTCCGCTGCCGGCTGTCAGGACAGTGCCTGCGGACCGGGGAGGGAGATCTGTGATCTCTGATCTCCCCTCCGGTCCACAGGCACATTGCAGGTCTAGCAGGGGAGGGAGACGGGCAATTGCCCCTTTGCTCCCCCCCTGGATCCGCCACTGCCTTGACATATTAAGAACAGTTTGGCAATGGGACTAAAATGGTGAATGTAAACTGTTGCACAGCTGCAACAAATGATGATCTCAACCAATCCAATGCTTTCTCATCGGAAAGCATTGGGAGGCTATTGTGCATGTGTGGTAAAAACCTGTGTGGCCAATTAACATAGTGCCTCCAGGCAAACCCAGTCTAATAAACTGCCCGCTCTCCCAGCTCTCTAATATAATACACTGCCCTCTCTCCCCCAATTTAATACACTGCCCCCCTCCCACCTCTCTAATACACTGCCCCATTCCCTCCCCCTAATTAAAACACTGCCCCTACCTTCCCCAAATTAATACAGTACCCCCTCCCTAAAATTAATACACTACCTACTCCCTTTCCCAATTTAATACACTACACAGGAAGGTCCCACAAGCCCCTCTTCCTCTACCTTAAGATGAGCAGCCCGTCCTCCAGTTCCAGTCCTGCTCTTCTCAAGCAGGCCAGACGCTCCTCTGGCACTGCAGGCATTAGGGAAGAGGGAGTGGCTGGCACTGCGAGCAGGAGGGAAGGGGGAGTGGTTGGCACTGCGGGAGCACACGATCGGCCGTGGGAGGGAAGTCAAGAATCATACAGGAAATCTCTTTCCTGTCTTGCGGCTGGTCACACCCACAACACAAAGTGGCCCCAGGGCAGGTGGGCTGCAAATATATCCATTGTGGGCCGCATGCGGCCTGCAAGTTTGACATGCTTGCTCTTGATAGAGAAAAGAAATATAGTAATATCAATTCTAGCTTGACTTCGCTCTTCAAGTGAATCTTGAGTCTGACGAGCGCCCGTTGAAGTTGTTGATCTACGATTGGTTTACTTGTTCTCCATTCGTTGGATTATCGTTTGGTCCGATCTTAATTGGGATCGCAAGAGAGAGGACGTCATTGGTTTGGCTCCGCCCATTATACTACAGAAGAGTTGCTGATTGGCTAACCTTGTTACCAGGAATGTGATTATGTGGTTTTTACTGAAAAAAAAAAAAAAAAAAAGAGTGCAGCATAATACTCGCCTTCGTGTCTTTAATAAAATCATGACTTTACATTAATAGTAAAATCTGGGAATTCTTATTTATTTATTAGATTTTAAAATAATTGTTAGTCATGTATCTATATTTGTTGGAAATAAAACAATTTTAGAAAAAGTCACTTTATTATTTATTATATATATCATAATTAATGTTCTCAAACAGTTAACATTCTATAAAAAATAGATTTGCGCACATTATAAATGATTCACTTTTAGAATAAACAGTTCATCTGTGTTTATATAAAATACCTGAAACCGATGTTCATTATTCACACAGAGCCATTTGATAATCCCATTTTTAGTTTTATCAGTGATTGGATACTTATCCAATATATAGCCTACAGGGGAACAAGGAAATCTATCAGTGTAGGTACACATTTTTGATCACATTAACCAATTGACAGACAGGTGGAGAGATATTGTTGAGCATGACAGCAGCTTCAAAGATCTCAAAATGTGCCGACACTGGCCCCATGGCAGACAATGTAAAAAGTGTAGTAGTCAAGGAAACTAGAGTACAGGTTTCAGATTTCATATTATAAACCTGAAACAGGCTTTCTGTTAAAGACAGCATGCAACAGTTTCCCTCTCATTCTGTCCCTTTCTGCACAGTACATAGAGTCATTTCAATAAGATTGAAAACGATCCAAAGAGCGATTTTACTCAGCAGCACAACCACCAGAAACAGGTTACATCTTCTCTGCACAGATAAAAGCTTTACATTCAAAACACGTGGGGGATGTAGAAAGACCTTTCATACTTTACAGAGAATCTAAAGACTTTCATAAATTTGAAGTTGGTGGAAGAATTAAAAATAAATTTAATAATTGTTCTTATATCTTATTGAGATAGGATAATTACCAATTCTAGTGCTAGAAAAAGTATAAATAAGTCAGGTTTTGGAGACTTATTAACAAGTTTAAGAAGAGATGGATACTTTAGCTTTGGTGCAGGAATTGTCTGCTATTGGTAATAATTTTGCTGCAATTTAGTTTGACACAATTTTTATTGGCTACTAGCTCCATTAAAACGATATTAACAGAATGGATAAGGGTTGAAGTAGCTACCACCAGTCTTCACTTATTTGCTTTTATTGCGTTGGAAAAAGGAGGCACGAGACATATTGAGGAGATTTTCTGATCGGGCTCTTGAGGCGAAATAAGATACGCTATCCTACAAAATAAAACCACAGTAAGAATAGTAAACAGTGAACTATAAGCATTGTATTGAATAAGGCTGATTGCGCACACAGGATACCTTTCTGCTACACGTGTTAAGGGTGTCATATTTACTATTTATGAATAAAAGGTTATTAGCATATTTACATTTTAAATTGGGTATATTGCATCCAGAAAGAATATTTTCTGTGAATTGTATTTTGTATGGGTCACAAAAAATGTAATCGATCGTCAAACAACAAGGTTGTGTTGTCATAGAAACAAATCCTTTCATGTATTTTCTGTATTGAAACTATAGAGTAGAATAATTGACAAATCTGTTTGATTCAATTCTTTTAAAACGCCAGGGCATTACTCTTTCAAGTCGGACTAACTCCAATAATCCCCAAAACCTTGAAAGTCACAGTTGCATCAGTTAAAAAAAAAAAAAAAAAAAAGACAAAAAGAAAAAATGTTGCGCTATCAGCAGTTACCATCTAGTTATCAGAGAATGTTGAAATCGTTGCACATATAGAAATTTAAAACGTAGATTGCTGTTACATACGTTGTATATAGAACTCGCTGGTTGCATTGTTTCTCCTCCCAGGTAAGAAGTGGTTGTGGTTACTGCAGGAACAGTTTCTGGATCCAATGAGGCTTTAAGATCCAAGCTGGTCGCACGTCGCTCACAAGAAGGAACAGAATTTTCCCATCCGGCCAAACAGTGCTGTCATACAAATAGATCACACAGGACACAGAGGAGGGATAGAAGGATTAAGAGGTGAGTTCTGGTGACGGGGCATGAATAAATAGGAGAGATATATGGAGGATATGGAGAATTTTTCAAACTGGCTACGTAAGTCTAATCCTTGAACCTCAGCATACAGTTTAGTGAATAAGCCCTGCATAGTTTAACTGCAACAATATATACAAAGAAATAAATTATATGGTCACTGTAAGCACCATAACCACTTCATCTCACTGTACCTGAAGCCTTTTTTTTTTTTAAATGTTTAATTCCAGAGTTTATTACCTTTATTAGCCCCTGTGTCTAGGCCCGTCAGTCAGCTGATATACGATCTTCCTGACTAGGAAATCAGTTTTAAGCAAAGTTTGTGTATAGAGTCAGCATGGTGTGTGAAGGTGTATATCTGCGCGCAACCTCCAGACACAGTGGCTTGGCAGCAGAGCTTCTCTATGCTGGACTAAAACTCCCATTATGCTCAATAACATTCTCACCAAGACTGGTGGGAGCTGAAATACTGGAATTAGACACAGTGTAGGAGCGCAGTACATTAGAACTTTTGTACTGGTTTAGACACAGTGTAGGAGCGCAGTATATTATAGGGTTTGTACTGGTTTACACACAGTGTAGGAGCGCAGTATATTATAGGGTTTGTACTGGTTTAGGCACAGTGTAGGAGCGCAGTATATTATAGGGTTTGTATTGGTTTAGACACAGTGTAGGAGCGCAGTATATTATAGGGTTTGTATTCGGTTGTGACACAGTGTAGGAGCCGTATATTATAGGGTTTGTACTGGTTTAGGCACAGTGTAGGAGCGCAGTATATTATAGGGTTTGTACTGGTTTAGACACAGTGTAGGAGCGCAGTATATTATAGGTTTTTGTACTGGCTTAAGCACACAGTGTAGGAGCGCAGTATATTGTAGGGTTTTGTATTGGTTTAGACACAGTGTAGGAGCCAGCAGTATATTATAGGGTTTGTACTGGTTTAGGTACAGGGAGCGCAGTATATTATAGGGTTTGTATTGGTTTAGACATTGGTGTAGGAGCGCTAGTATATTATAGGGTTTGTACCTTGTTTAGACACAGTGTAGAGCGCAGTATGGGTTATAGGTTTGTACTGGTTTAGTACAGTGTAGGAGCCGCAGTATATTATAGGGGTTTGTACTGTTTAGGCACAGTGTAGAGCTTAGTATATTGAGTAGGTTTGTACCTGGTTTAGACACAGTGTGGGAGCGCAGTATATTGTAGGGTTTGTATTGGTTTAGACACAGTGTAGGAGCGCAGTATATTATAGGGTTTGTACTGGTTTAGGCACAGTGTAGGAGCGCAGTATATTATAGGGTTTGTACTGGTTTACACACAGTGTAGGAGCGCAGTATATTATAGGGTTTGTACTGGTTTAGACACAGTGTAGGAGCGCAGTATATTATAGGGTTTGTATTGGTTTACACACAGTGTAGGAGCGCAGTATATTATAGGGTTTGTACTGGTTTAGGCACAGTGTAGGAGCGCAGTATATTATAGGGTTTGTATTGGTTTACACACAGTGTAGGAGCGCAGTATATTATAGGGTTTGTACTGGTTTAGACACAGTGTAGGAGCGCAGTATATTATAGGGTTTGTACTGGTTTAGACACAGTGTAGGAGCGCAGTATATTATAGGGTTTGTACTGGTTTAGACACAGTGTAGGAGCGCAGTATATTATAGGGTTTGTACTGGTTTAGGCACAGTGTAGGAGGGCAGTATATTATAGGGTTTGTACTGGTTTAGACACAGTGTAGGAGCGCAGTATATTATAGGGTTTGTACTGGTTTAGACAGTGTAGGAGCGCAGTATATTATAGGGTTTGTACTGGTTTAGACACAGTGTAGGAGCGCAGTATATTATAGGGTTTGTACTGGTTTAGACACAGTGTAGGAGCGCAGTATATTATAGGGTTTGTACTGGTTTAGGCACAGTGTAGGAGCGCAGTATATTATAGGGTTTGTACTGGTTTAGACACAGTGTAGGAGCGCAGTATATTATAGGGTTTGTATTGGTTTAGACACAGTGTAGGAGCGCAGTATATTATAGGGTTTGTATTGGTTTAGACACAGTGTAGGAGCGCAGTATATTATAGGGTTTGTACTGGTTTACACACAGTGTAGGAGCGCAGTATATTATAGGGTTTGTATTGGTTTAGACACAGTATAGGAGCGCAGTATATTATAGGGTTTGTACTGGTTTAGGCACAGTGTAGGAGTGCAGTAGATTATAAGGTTTGTACTGGTTTAGAGACAGTCTGATCACCAGTATGTTCCAGAGCAGTATATGAAGGATTTAGACCCTCAGAAGTGATTCTCTGAAATACCCCAGTGAAACAATTAGTGTGTTCAGGGTATATAGATATTATTAGCTACTTACTGATGGTAATGCAAGGCTGTCTGTGGGATCAAAGCTTTTTCGTCGGTGAGCTTTGTACACGTACGGAGGCAGAAGAGTAGATCTGGGGATGCTCACCCTAGAGAACGAAACACACTTTGGTTATGAATATCCCAAATTTAACAGGAAATATTTTTTATAAAAGGACTGTCCTACTCATTTACTATTACGCAGGCTCTTTAGAATGGAAAGCCCTTCCCATTTGGCATTTTTTAAGCTTCATAGAGATGTGAAATCACTTGTATCAGGAATATGGTCTTTAAGAACCAGATTGTGATCATGGCATTGAACACTAGGTCCTTAAGTAGTTAAAAGAAATGTCAATGACGGAGTGCAGAAACACAAGTAACTAACCGGATATATGCAGGCTCCTCTACTGTAGGTGGACGTCTAGATCTGCGCTTTTTACAGATAGGACAGGCAGACACTGGACCAATAGGAGATGTAAACAAGCGATTATTTACCCGATAACAGTAGACACCTGGAAAAACAAAACATATTACAGTGAGCACAAACCTCCATAGTTTGCTTTATTTTAGCTTCAGGTACCTAAACCAATTAATTCATGTAGATTGTATCAAATGCTAATTCGATGCCTATGCTGTACAATTTAATAAATACTTTAAGTCAGGAGTGTCCAGTAAGGGTACGGTCAGCGACCCTCTCTGCACTGGCCTTGGATTGTAGTGCAGCCAAAATCAATATGCAGAGAATCTGAATGGGGGTTTGGTGAAGCGCACTAAGGGGTAATGTGAGGGCATTTTCAAATTATGGGGCAGGAATGCTGCCGGGAGGCGTTAGTAAAATGATCACTGGCAGCCAATTAAAAAATACAGAGAGACATGGCTCCATAGGGGCCCAGAAAGGAGCCTGGGCTGGTGGTCCTTTGGCGGCCCAGGGCGAATGCGTTGAGACTAGGTGGTCACACCCAGAGGGCCC